ACAAGATAAAAATACTCTTGCTAGAGAGGATCGACAAGTAGAAACTAGGATAATCTCGATGGGAAACGGCGATTGGTCGTAATTGGAATGCCATCTCTGGATGGAGGACGATCGACGAACGACGAACGACCGAGTACTCTGTGTTATCGTTCTTCTTCTTCTTCTTCTCCCTCTTCTTCTCCTTCTCCTTTTTCTTTTACATAAAAACAAAAATAAAAGAAAGTAAAAAAAAAAAAAAAAAAAATATATATATATATATATAAAACAAGATGAAAAAGAAAAGGAAGAAGAAAAAGAAGAAGAAGAAGAAGATCATACTTTTACGCAAGAGACTCTTGCACGTTTGCAAAGACGATGATCCCTGTATACACCTACACACTTGCATAGAGCAAAGAAGAGAAAGAGAGAGAAAGAGAGAAGAAGTAAGAATAGAAAGAAAGCATATGCTCATGTATGTATATATGTATATATATATATATATATATATATGTATGTATATGAAAAAGAGATAGACTATATATCACGAAGAGGAAAGATTCACTCACACGAATGAGACGGAATCCAGTTTGCCAAGAAGTTTTTGCAAAAACTGTTGGTGTGCACGTCTCGACCAGTGATTCCTGGACAACGTGACGCAATTATGCAACCAACTGGTCTCTCTCTCTCCCTCTCTCTCTCTCTCTCTCTCTCTCTCTTTCTATCTCTATCTCTATCTATCTATCTATCTATTTATCTCTCTTTCTCTCTCTATCTATTTATCTCTCTCTCTTTCTCTCTCTATCTATTTATCTCTCTCTCCTTCTCTCTTTCTCTCTCTCTTCTTCACGATTCGTTCTTCTTCTATGCTGCTTCGATACTATCGCTGACCTTGAAGCCCTCGAAGACTCCCTCGCGGCCTTGCAGTTTGTGCCAGGACTTCGGGATCAGGGCCGATCGTAACGACCGTGCAGGCCTAATCACACGTTAGAAAGAGAAAAAGAGAGAAAGAGAGAAAGAGAGAGAGAGAGAGAAAGAACGGTAATCAAAGTGATCGCCATGCTAGTCTGTGTTTCTTCTTCTTTTTCTTCTTCTTCTTCGTCGTTGACTGTAATTGATTGATTCGAAAGTAATTAACCTACAAGAAACTATTGATGAACACCTGTTGGTGGACAAAGGATATACGGTAAGGTATGTCGAGTTGCCTCTAGACAGGCGCAATTCTATTATCGTTGAATTAAAATTCCAACAACGTTTAATAAGTTTTTATCTTTAAAGGATTAGCTATTCTGTTAGAGAAAAGTTGAAAAGATTTTTTTTATGAGAATAGAAAATAGTTAATCATTATTTAAGCATTAATCAATAAGTATAAGTAACAAAGTAAAAAAGTTATTATTTTCTTTTATTTAAACGTGTTTAACGCAATCTTTTTTTCATATCAAAAAAGAAAAGAAAAAAAAATAATATTACATAATGTGGAACATATTCTATTAATTATATTACTATAATTGTATTATAGTAATTCCATAAAAATAGAAATACCAAGTACTATAAAAATATACTATACATGAAAAAAAAAAAATTTTAATATGATATAAATTAAGAATTAATTTTGTATAAAAATACACATATATACTTATTTATAAATTACATAGGATTGCGAAAAGTTAAAAAATGGACAAAACATTTTGATAGAGACCTAACATTTGAAAATAAAATATGTAATCCAATCATAGCCATTGAAAATATCCCTAAATAAGTTTCCCTAATATCGTAAAAAATATTCTAGTTAAGTTTTGGTAAATCGAAATTACATATTTAAATATATTTATAACAGAGATTTAAAGAAAAACTAAATTATAACATATTAAACATATTAAATATTATTATATTATATTAAATATTAAACATAAATATGTTTTAATTCTTCAACCTTTACAAACACTTCAGCGTTAGAAAAGCTCGTATGTATTACAAACACCTGTATATACATTTATATATATATATATATATATATATATATATATATATATATACATGTATATATATAGATACACCTACGTTCTTCCTCTTTCTTTGAGTTTCTAGCGAACTGGATCGAATATCCTCGAGCAATGCAAATTCAGTAGGAAGATTCTCTTATGGCGTCTGAGTTTGGCTTGGTGTAGCTGATCTCGATCACACGGTAGCACGAAGAAGAAGAGAGTTTACCGGTGCTGAAGGCAGCCAAAAGGATCAAAGAAATATGATAAGAAGAGAGAGAGAGAGAGAGAGAGAGAAAAAGAGAGAGGGGGGAGAGAGGGGGGAGAAAGAGGGAGAGAGAGAGAGAAAGACATACAGAGAAGAAGAAAGAAAAAAGGATAGTGAAGTAACTGGTAGTGGTGATCTTCTGCGTAACACCTGCTGCTCGTGTCGTAACTTGTCTGACATCCTCATTGCCGAAAACAGAAGCTGCTGGGGCTTCCAGATCGACCGATATACCGGTATCTCATAACGGCTCGCGCCAAGAAAATGGCCTTTTAAATTGCACACCGACGTTACATCGACGCCTTATTAACTCTGAGAACGTGAATACGTGAACGTGATTCTCCGAACAAAGTATAAGGAGCACGCGTTACTCTTTTATTATACTCCTATGCCACTTTTCAAATTCTTTAATCAATTGTCTACAATTGATCCTTATGTCAATTGTCTACAATGATAATTTTATAATGATTATTCTATATAATTAATATTTTATATAAATATTTTTAACTCTTAAATGAATATTTCTATTTAAATATTTGAACGTATTAACGCATAATATATGTAATATTATATAAGAATGCTTAATATATAATGTGATATAAGTGATAACGTTTAATATATAATATAATATAATAATGTTTAATAAACGCTAAATTAGGACATATTAATATTTAATATCTAATGTAATATATGTATAAATATTTATATTCGTGTGTATATATATATATATACATATATATATATATATATATATATATATATATATATATATATACATATATATATATATATATATATATATATATATATATATATATGCCAATATTTAGTTAATCATAAAATTCCATAGAAAAGAAAAGAAAATAATTATGATAATGAAATATTTTCTATTTACTTTCTTTATTATATAGACATTTACTTTAATAAATTGTATAAAAGGAAAAATAAAATGACGAATCAATATACACTAATAATTATTAAAGAATTTCAATATCCTAAAAATGATTCGGTCAATTTTATTATAGACTAAAATGCGTCATAACTACATCCTACGAAATACGCAAGAACTTTCGAAATGATCTGATATTAAGATTAAGACATATGTGAGAAACTAAATGACAGTTTTATTCGACATAAAACAGAAATATGCGGAAGTGACCATTATATTTAAAACTACAAATAAAGTCATTATTTACATTTCCTGCACGTATCATAGTTACTGACATAACATATGGTTCGATGTCATTATAGCTTATCAATTGGATAATAAATTAATTTCTATTCAGAAACTGCGTATAAATACCATGCTTGAATCCTCAAAATTTTGAAAGTGGAATAGGAAGCAAGCGATCATGAAGGTATCCGCGACCTCTCTACTCTTCATTGTGGCTTCTACCACGGCCCTCTCGGTAAGTTCAAATAACTATAATAAGATCATCATTTAATCTATTATATTGAAAGTTCATAAAAAGTCAGTCTAACAATACGAATTATTATACAATAGATACCAGCAGGTAATCGACAGAGTCAAGAAACAGGATCAATATCAAATCCAATAAACAATGTCAGACCTAGCCAAGGAATAAATGCAGAAATAAATGCAAATGCAAAAGTAGGATCAAATATAGGAGCTAATTCCAATATAAATGAAGGTTATCGATATGGTCAAGGAATAGGATCAATATCAAATTCAATAAACAATGTCAGAGCTAGCCAAGGAATAAATGCAGAAATAAATGCAAATGCGAAAGCAGGATCAAAAACAGGAACTAATTTCAATATAAATGAAGGAATACAAACACAATCGAAAGGAAAATCAAATGTAGGAGCTAATTTAGGTATATATACAGGACTAGGTCAACAATGGAATATTCCGTCTCTTTCCAAACATTCTGAATATAATAATGATAATAATTATAATAACCAAAATCCATATTACTTTCCTCGTATAATCGGATTTCCTAAAATACCAAAACTTCCTCATATACCCTTACCTTACCCCCTTTGGTCTACGAAAACTACATCCACTACAACTGAAAAACCGTGCGACGAAGAATCAATGACTTCTACTACTGCACAACCAACAAAAGCATCAACGAGTAAACCGCCATCTCAATCTTCTTCTGCGCCATCAACGCAATCACATAGCAACTCTTCACCAGCAGGAGCGGGAGTAGGAATAGGCGGAGGAGTAGCAGGTGGAATAAGTGGATCAGGATCAAGTTCAGGAACGGGTATCCAAGGAGGCGCAGCAGGGGGAATCGGTACAGGATCGGGTAAAGGAGGTATAGGAGTAAGCGTTGGAGTAAGTATAGGAATAGGAAACGGAGGACACTCGAGCAGCCCAAGTACGCCAAGTTCTTCCACTTCTAAAAAACCAAGTGAAGCACCGAGCAGTACGGCGTCAACAAGTTCTGAAACTATTCCTTGCGAAGAATCTAGCGCAGCACCAAGCAGCTCTGCCCACCCAAGTTCTACCAGCTCTAAGAAACCAACTGAAGAACCGACAAGCTCTGCGTCGCCAAGTTGGCACAGTTCTGAAAAACCAACCAAAGCTCCAAGCAGCTCTGCCTCACCAAGTTCTTCCAGCACTGAACAACCCAGCAGAGCACCGAGCAGTTCGGAATCGACAATTTCTGAATCTACTCCTTGTGAAGAGTCTAGCGGAGCACCAAGCAGCTCTGCCTCACCAAGTTCTTCCAGCTCTGGACAAGCCAGTGGAGCACCCAGCAGCTCCGCCTCAACAAGTTCTTCCAGCTCTGAACAACCATGGGGAGCACCCAGCAGTTCTGCCTCACCAAGTTCTTCCAGCTCTGGACAACCAAGTGAACCAACAAGCAGCTCTGCCTCTCCTAGTTCATCAAGTTCTGAACAACCTAGTGAAACTCCAAGCAGCTCTGCCTCACCTAGTTCTTCCAGCTCTGAACAACCCAGTGGAGCACCCAGCAGCTCAGCCTTACCAAGTTCTTCCAGCACTGGACAACCAAGTGGAGAACCCAGCAGCTCTGCTTCACCAAGTTCTTCCAGCTCTGAACAACCCAGCGGTGCACCCAGCAGCTCTGCCTCACCAAGTTCTTCCAGCTCTGGACAACCAAGTGAACCCTCAAGCAGCTCTGTCTCACCAAGTTCTTCCAGTTCTGAACAACCCAGCGGAGCACCGAGCAGTTCGGAATCGCCAATTTCTGAATCTACTCCTTGTGAAGAGTCCAGCGTAGCACCAAGCAGCTCTGCTTCTCCTAGTTCTTCCAGCTCGGAACAACCATGGGGAGCACCCAGCAGCTCTGCCTCACCAAGTTCTTCAAGCTCTGAACAACCCAGTGGAGCACCCAGCAGCTCAGCCTCATCAAGTGCTTCCAGCTCTGGACAACCAAGTGAACCACCAAGCAGCTCTGCCTCACCAAGTTCTTCCAGCACTGGACAACCAAGTGGAGAACCCAGCAGCTCTGCTTCACCAAGTTCTTCCAGCTCTGAACAACCCTGGGGAGCACCTAGCAGCTCTGCCTCACCAAGTTCTTCCAGCTCTGAACAACCCAGTGGAGCACCCAGCAGCTCACCCTCACCTAGTTCTTCCAGCTCTGAACAACCCAGTGGAGCACCCAGCAGCTCTGCCTCACCAAGTTCTTCAAGCTCTGAACAACCCAGTGGAGCAACCAGCAGCTCAGCCTCACCAAGTTCTTCCAGCTCTGGACAACCAAGTGAACCACCAAGCAGCTCTGCCTCACCAAGTTCTTCCAGTTCTGAACAACCAAGTGAACCACCAAGCAGCTCTGCCTCACCAAGTTCTTCCAGCTCTGGACAACCAAGTGAACCACCAAGCAGCTCTGCCTCACCAAGTCCTGCCAGTTCTGAACAACCCACTGGAGAACCCAGTAGCTCTGCCTCACCAAGTTCTTCCAGTTCTGAACAACCCAGTGGAGCACCCAGCAGCTCTGGCTCACCTAGTTCTTCCAGCTCTGAACAACCCAGTGGAGCACCCAGCAGCTCTGCTTCACCAAGTTCTCCCAGCTCTGAACAACCCAGCGGTGCACCCAGCAGCTCTGCCTCACCAAGTTCTTCCAGCTCTGGACAACCAAGTGAAACCTCAAGCAGCTCTGCCTCACCAAGTTCTTCCAGTTCTGAACAACCCAGTGGAGAACCCAGTAGCTCTGCCTCACCAAGTCCTCCAAGTTCTGAACAACCCAGCGGAGCACCGAGCAGTTCGGAATCACCAATTTCTGAATCTACTCCATGTGAAGAGTCTAGCGTAGCACCAAGCAGCTCTGCCTCTCCTAGTTCATCCAGTTCTGAACAACCTAGTGAAACTCCAAGCAGCTCTGCCTCACCTAGTTCTTCCAGCTCTGAACAACCCAGTGGAGCACCCAGCAGCTCAGCCTCACCAAGTACTTCCAGCTCTGAACAACCCAGTGGAGCACCCAGCAGCTCAGCCTCACCTAGTTCTTCCAGCTCTGAACAACCCAGTGGAGCACCCAGCAGCTCTGCTTCACCAAGTTCTCCCAGCTCTGAACAACCCAGCGGTGCACCCAGCAGCTCTGCCTCACCAAGTTCTTCCAGCTCTGGACAACCAAGTGAAACCTCAAGCAGCTCTGCCTCACCAAGTTCTTCCAGTTCTGAACAACCCTGGGGGGCACCCAGCAGCTCTGCCTCACCAAGTTCTTCAAGCTCTGAACAACCCAGTGGAGCACCCAGCAGCTCAGCCTCACCTAGTTCTTCCAGCTCTGAACAACCCAGTGGAGCACCCAGCAGCTCTGCCTCACCAAGTTCTTCCAGCTCTGAACAACCAAGTGGAGAACCCAGCAGCTCCGCCTCACCAAGTTCTTCCACCTCTGAACAACCAAGTGGAGAACCCAGCAGCTCCGCCTCACCAAGTTCTTCCACCTCTGAACAACCCTGGGGGGCACCCAGCAGTTCTGCCTCACCAAGTTCTTCCAGCTCTGAACAACCCAGTGGAGCACCCAGCAGCTCAGCCTCACCTAGTTCTTCCAGCTCTGAACAACCCAGTGGAGCACCCAGCAGCTCAGCCTCACCAAGTTCTTCAAGCTCTGAACAACCCAGTGGAGCACCCAGCAGTTCAGCCTCACCAAGTTCTTCCAGCTCTGGACCACCAAGTGAAACCTCAAGCAGCTCTGCCTCACCAAGTTCTTCCAATTCTGAACAACCCTGGGGGGCACCCAGCAGCTCTGCCTCACCAAGTTCTTCCAGCTCTGACCCAGTGGAGCACCCAGCAGCTCAGCCTCACCTAGTTCTTCCAGCTCTGAACAACCCAGTGGAGCACCCAGCAGCTCTGCCTCACCAAGTTCTTCCAGTTCTGAACAACCCAGCGGAGCACCGAGCAGTTCGGAATCGCCAATTTCTGAATCTACTCCTTGTGAAGAGTCCAGCGTAGCACCCAGCAGCTCAGCCTCACCAAGTTCTTCCAGCACTGGACAACCAAGTGAACCACCAAGCAGCTCTGCCTCACCAAGTTCTTCTAGCTCTGGACAACCAAGTGAAACCTCAAGCAGCTCTGCCTCACCAAGTTCTTCCAGTTCTGAACAACCCAGTGGAGAACCCAGCAGCTCCGCCTCACCAAGTTCTTCCACCTCTGAACAACCCTGGGGGGCACCCAGCAGTTCTGCCTCACCAAGTTCTTCCAGCTCTGAACAACCCAGTGGAGCACCCAGCAGCTCAGCCTCACCTAGTTCTTCCAGCTCTGAACAACCCAGTGGAGCACCCAGCAGCTCAGCCTCACCAAGTTCTTCCAGCACTGGACAACCAAGTGGAGAACCCAGCAGCTCTGCTTCACCAAGTTCTTCCAGCTCTGAACAACCCAGCGGTACACCCAGCAGTTCTGCCTCACCAAGTTCTTCCAGCTCTGGACAACCAAGTGAACCCTCAAGCAGCTCTGCCTCACCAAGTTCTTCCAGTTCTGAACAACCCAGCGGAGCACCGAGCAGTTCGGGATCGCCAATTTCTGAATCTACTCCTTGTGAAGAGTCCAGCGTTGTACCAAGCAGCTCTGCCTCTCCTAGTTCTTCCAGCTCGGAACAACCATGGGGAGCACCCAGCAGCTCTGCCTCACCAAGTTCTTCAAGCTCTGAACAACCCAGTGGAGCAACCAGCAGTTCAGCCTCACCAAGTTCTTCCAGCACTGGACAACCAAGTGAACCACCAAGCAGCTCTGCCTCATCAAGTACTTCCAGCTCTGAACAACCCAGTGGAGCACCCAGCAGCTCAGCCTCACCTAGTTCTTCCAGCTCTGAACAACCCAGTGGAGCACCCAGCAGCTCAGCCTCACCTAGTTCTTCCAGCTCTGAACAACCCTGGGGGGCACCCAGCAGCTCTGCCTCACCAAGTTCTTCCAGCTCTGAACAACCCAGTGGAGCACCCAGCAGCTCAGCCTCACCTAGTTCTTCCAGCTCTGAACAACCCAGTGGAGCACCCAGCAGCTCAGCCTCACCAAGTTCTTCCAGCACTGGACAACCAAGTGGAGAACCCAGCAGCTCAGCCTCACCAAGTTCTTCCAGCACTGGACAACCAAGTGGAGAACCCAGCAGCTCTGCTTCACCAAGTTCTTCCAGCTCTGAACAACCCAGCGGTGCACCCAGCAGTTCTGCCTCACCAAGTTCTTCCAGCTCTGGACAACCAAGTGAACCCTCAAGCAGCTCTGCCTCACCAAGTTCTTCCAGTTCTGAACAACCCAGCGGAGCACCGAGCAGTTCGGGATCGCCAATTTCTGAATCTACTCCTTGTGAAGAGTCCAGCGTTGTACCAAGCAGCTCTGCCTCTCCTAGTTCTTCCAGCTCGGAACAACCATGGGGAGCACCCAGCAGCTCTGCCTCACCAAGTTCTTCAAGCTCTGAACAACCCAGTGGAGCAACCAGCAGTTCAGCCTCACCAAGTTCTTCCAGCACTGGACAACCAAGTGAACCACCAAGCAGCTCTGCCTCATCAAGTACTTCCAGCTCTGAACAACCCAGTGGAGCACCCAGCAGCTCAGCCTCACCTAGTTCTTCCAGCTCTGAACAACCCAGTGGAGCACCCAGCAGCTCAGCCTCACCTAGTTCTTCCAGCTCTGAACAACCCAGTGGAGCACCCAGCAGCTCTGCTTCACCAAGTTCTTCCAGCTCTGAACAACCCAGCGGTGCACCCAGCAGCTCTGCCTCACCAAGTTCTTCCAGCTCTGGACAACCAAGTGAAACCTCAAGCAGCTCTGCCTCACCAAGTTCTTCCAGTTCTGAACAACCCTGGGGGGCACCCAGCAGCTCTGCCTCACCAAGTTCTTCCAGCTCTGAACAACCCAGTGGAGCACCCAGCAGCTCAGCCTCACCTAGTTCTTCCAGCTCTGAACAACCCAGTGGAGCACCCAGCAGCTCTGCCTCATCAAGTTCTTCAAGCTCTGAACAACCCAGTGGAGCAACCAGCAGCTCAGCCTCACCAAGTTCTTCCAGCTCTGGACAACCAAGTGAACCACCAAGCAGCTCTGCCTCACCAAGTTCTTCCAGTTCTGAACAACCAAGTGAACCACCAAGCAGCTCTGCCTCACCAAGTTCTTCCAGCTCAGAACAACCCTGGGGACCACCCAGCAGCTCAGCCTCACCAAGTTCTTCCAGCTCTGGACAATCAAGTGAACCACCAAGCAGCTCTGCCTCACCAAGTTCTTCCAGCTCTGAACAACCCTGGGGATCACCCAGCAGCTCTGCCTCACCAAGTTCTTCCAGCTCTGGACAACCAAGTGAACCACCAAGCAGCTCTGCCTCACCAAGTTCTTCCAGCTCAGAACAACCCTGGGGAGCACCCAGCAGCTCAGCCTCACCAAGTTCTTCCAGCTCTGGACAATCAAGTGAACCACCAAGCAGCTCTGCCTCACCAAGTTCTTCCAGCTCTGAACAACCCTGGGGATCACCCAGCAGCTCTGCCTCACCAAGTTCTTCCAGCTCTGGACAACCAAGTGAACCACCAAGCAGCTCTGCCTCACCAAGTTCTTCCAGTTCTGAACAACCCAGTGGAGCACCCACCAGCTCTGCCTCACCAAGTTCTTCCAGCTCAGAACAACCCTGGGGAGCACCCAGCAGCTCAGCCTCACCAAGTTCTTCCAGCTCTGGACAATCAAGTGAACCACCAAGCAGCTCTGCCTCACCAAGTTCTTCCAGCTCTGAACAACCCTGGGGATCACCCAGCAGCTCTGCCTCACCAAGTTCTTCCAGCTCTGGACAACCAAGTGAACCACCAAGCAGCTCTGCCTCACCAAGTTCTTCCAGTTCTGAACAACCAAGTGAACCACCAAGCAGCTCAGTCTCACCAAGTTCTTCCAGCTCTGGACAACCAAGTGAACCCCCAAGCAGCTCTGCCTCACCAAGTTCTTCCAGTTCTGAACAACCCAGTGGAGCACCCACCAGCTCTGCCTCACCAAGTTCTTCCAGCTCTGAACAACCCTGGGGAGCACCCAGCAGCTCTGCTTCACCAAGTTCTTCCAGCTCTGGACAACCCAGCGGTGCACCCAGCAGCTCTGCCTCACCAAGTTCTTCCAGCTCTGGTCAACCAAGTGAACCCTCAAGCAGTTCTGCCTCACCAAGTTCTTCCAGTTCTGAACTACCCTGGGGATCACCCAGCAGCTCTGCCTCACCAAGTTCTTCCAGTTCTGGACAACCAAGTGAACCACCACGCAGCTCGACCTCATCAAGTTCTTCCAGTTCTGAACAGCCCAGTGGAGCACCCAGCAGCTCAGCCTCACCAAGTTCTTCCAGCACTGGACAACCAAGTGGAGAACCCAGCAGCTCTGCTTCATCTAGTCCTTCCAGTTCTGAACAACCCAGCGGAGCACCGAGCAGTTCGGAATCGCCAATTTCTGAATCTACTCCTTGTGAAGAGTCTAGCGTAGCACCAAGCAGCTCTGCCTCTCCTAGTACATCCAGTTCTGAACAACCTAGTGAAACTACAAGCAGCTCTGCCTCACCTAGTTCTTCCAGCTCTGAACAACCCAGTGGAGCACCCAGCAGTTCTGCTTCACCAAGTTCTTCCAGCTCTGAACAACCCAGCGGTGCACCCAGCAGCTCCGCCTCACCAAGTTCTTCCAGCTCTGGACAACCAAGTGAACCCTCAAGCAGCTCTGCCTCACCAAGTTCTTCCAGTTCTGAACAACCCAGTGGTGCACCCAGCAGCTCAGCCTCACCAAGTTCTTCCAGCACTGGACAACCAAGTGGAGAACCCAGCAGTTCTGCTTCACCAAGTTCTTCCAGCTCTGAACAACCCAGCGGTGCACCCAGCAGCTCTGCCTCACCAAGTTCTTCCAGCTCTGGACAACCAAGTGAACCCTCAAGCAGCTCTGTCTCACCAAGTTCTTCCAGTTCTGAACAACCCAGCGGAGCACCGAGCAGTTCGGCATCGCCAATTTCTGAATCTACTCCTTGTGAAGAGTCTAGCGTAGCACCAAGCAGCTCTGCCTCTCCTAGTTCATCCAGTTCTGAACAACCTAGTGAAACTTCAAGCAGCTCTGCCTCACCTAGTTCTTCCAGTTCTGAACAACCCAGTGGGGCAACCACCAGCTCTGCCTCACCAAGTTCTTCTAGCTCTGAACAACCCAGTGAAGCAACCAGCAGTTCTGCCTCACCAAGTTCTTCCAGTTCTGGACAACCAAGTGAACCACCAAGCAGCTCTGCTTCACCAAGTTCTTCCAGCTCTGAACAACCCAGCGGTGCACCCAGCAGCTCTGTCTCACCAAGTTCTTCCAGCTCTGGACAACCAAGTGAACCCTCAAGCAGCTCTGCCTCACCAAGTTCTTCCAGTTCTGAACAACCCAGCGGAGCACCGAGCAGTTCGGAATCTCCAAGTTCTTCCAGCTCTGGACAACCAAGTGAACCCTCAAGCAGCTCTGCCTCACCAAGTTCTTCCAGTTCTGAACAACCCAGCGGAACACCGAGCAGTTCGGCATCTCCAATTTCTGAAAGTACACCTTGTGAAGAATCTAGCGTAGCACCAAGCAGTTCTGCTTCGCCTAGTTCTTCCAGTTCTATCCATCCTAGCGGCGGAGCAAGTAGCTCTTCTTTGCCAAGTTCTGGTTCATCCCCTTGGATCAGTTCGACCCGTTTTCCTCACCACTTTACTGATTCAGTCGGTCGACAGTGCTATTGTTATTGATTTTTAATGTTACGTAAAATTTTTTAATTCGGCTAAGTTATTTTAAAACGTCTACAATTTTTCCATATCTATCTGAAACATAATTACTAAACAGAGAATAAATTTATAATTGCCTTTTTTTGTAAATTGGATCAAACTGTTATTTTAATTGAATAAATTATTCTATGAAAATATCTCAGTATCCGAAATTTCATATTAGATGTACTTAATCATCTTGTTATATTTCCCACAAATTTTTTGTCCGATGTTGATATTACATAGGGAAATGTGATGAGGCGAACGAGTCTTTTATTGATGAGATTTCAAAAAGTTCGTTCATTCATAAAAATCTGATAATCTACAGATGGGAGCAATTGTATTTATTTAATTATATCTTTTAGATCACACCTCGAAATTCATCACACGATCTCTTTTTATCTATGTAACACTTCAGACACAAAGAATGCAAAACTACGTATTAACGGAGAGAGAAAATTAGACTATAAAATTAGACGAATGGAAAATGTAGGAAAAATGAAGCAAGTAAAATTGAAATTAACGATCATATACATATAGAAGAAAAAATGTTTGATCGAAAAATATAAGATTACAAAATTGAAGGAAGAAGAATTCTTATATGAACGTATTAATCGAAGATAAATTGGCTATCAAAAAAGAATTGTTTCATTGGAAATATTTTTATATTCTTTCAACAAATTTTTAGAACAATAATTGTTTAAATAGAACTCATCGTAACGAAAAGAGGAATCAAACAGGGTGGAGCTCTCGCAGTTGAATATGAAAAGAAAGGAAAAGAAGAGGATAGATGAAGAAAAAAAAATTTAAGAGCGGAAAAAGAAACAGGAGAAGGAGTGGAAGAAGAAGAGAAGCAATGATGGAAGGTGGGTTGAGGGGTTGCTGGGATCTCTGTGGTCTGCTACATCTATTTATAGCGTACACCATGCTAATGCATATACGCCTGTGCACTACGTTAAGCCTTCGCGTCGAGCATAACGGGCTTTTACGTGTTACACTGAATATTCCCCGTGCCGTGAACGCGTGTGCGTGTCATTTTTCTTTTTTTTTTTTTGTTTGTTATCCCTCTCTCTATCTCTCCTTTCTTTCTTATACCTACACATATATATATATATATATAGATAGATAGATACATCTCACCCTCTCTCTCACTCTCTCTCTCTCTCCCTCATGTTGAACGCACGTGCTTGGCTCTCGTACGCGCATGCGTACTCACTTTGCTTCGAGCGTGCAAAACTCGATCCAAGAACCGACGACGTTTACGTTTCACGCTTTTCCACCATCCTCTGCTATTCAAGGATTATTAAAGAGGAAAATTTACAGGTATGTATTCTTAACTATCGACTTCGAAAGTTCGTTCTTATTTATTAAATGGAAAGTTCTTTTTAAATATAACAAAAAAAAAATATTTCTAATGTGAAATATATTTTCATTCGTAATATAAGAAAAAAAGTACGATTTGTTTTCTTAAAAAGGAAAAAAAAAGAAAAAAAAATAAGTACAAAAAATTATTATCATCTTTCATACTAATCATTGATTCTAAAGAGAGAGAGAGAGAGAGTGTGTGTGTGTGTGTGTGTGAGAAAGTAAGAAAAAAATAAATAAATGAAAAATAAAAAAATTATATAGAACAAAATTCTAAATTTTTAATTAAACTTAGAAATTAAGCGATAATAATTTGTTCTTTAAAAAGAATAATCGATTATGATCTTTCATATAAATCGTAGATTACGAGAATGCGTTATTTGCAAAAATAAGAAAGATGGAAAAAGAGGGAAAATAAATAAATTAAAGATAAATGAAAAAAAAAAAAAGAAAAAAAAAAAAAGAAATGTTAGGAAAGAAAACCTTCTAAAAACAAAATGATATGCTGTTTAACAAAAATAATTAAAAAAAAAAATAATCGTCATCTTCCATATAAGTCATTAATTGTAAAAATAAAGAAATAAAAAAGAAAAAACATGGAGAGAAAGAGAGAGATAGAGAAATAGAGAGGGTGAGAGAGAGAGAGAGAGAGAGAGAGAGGGAGGGAGAAAGAGAGAGAGAGGGAGAGAATAAAAGGATTTGTTTAGAAAAAAAAAAGAAGAAAAATGAAAAAGAAGAGAAAAGAGAGAGAGAATACAACCGGTTTGTACATAGTTTTTCCATGAAATATTTAAATTCGCCGATGTCGATGGCACGTACTGTAATTTACGTTCGATTCCCGTCTATCTTCGCGACAGATAAGAGCTTTGCCAGAGCAGCAACTCTTCTTGCAGCTCGGGGCGTTATAACTTCGGCAGTTGTTACTTATAAATTACCATCGGGGCAGTTATAACTCATAGACCGTTCGCGACGCCTTTATAACTTATACCTCTGACTTATAAGTTATAAGCACACGGTACTTACGTATAACCTGTATACACATATACGTATATATATGTATATATATATATATATATATATATATATATATATATACGTATACATATGTGTTACGATTGCCGATGATATAAGATAAAGATTCGACACCACTGAATGCGATATTAACGTATTACACGCGATACGTTTCTTGTTCTTCGAACTTGACGTTAATGGTCAAAACGACTACTTACCTTGTTTTCTCACGATAAGAAAAGAAAAGAAAAAAAAAAAAGAAAAAATAAATAATCTGAAAGGAAAACGATTATTATAAAGACGAAAAAAAAAGGAAAAGAAAAAGAGGAAGAAGAAGAAGATGAAGAAGAAGAGAAGGAGAAAAGAATTGTGTGAACGATTTTAGAGCGATCACATTTGGTATCTAATTATAATCATGACATTTCGATTGTACGAATTTGAGTAAAAAAAAAAAACAAAAAAAAAAAAAAAAAAAATAAAAAAAGAAACAAATAAATAAGTAAGAGAATTATTAAAAAGTAATGAACAATAAGGGAAGATAAAAAGATTGCAAACAAGAAAGATAGTCAAGCACATCTAATAATTATAATTATTACGTTCTAATAATACAGATTCGAAGGAATGCTTTTCGAAGTACGATCGCTCGGGACGACGATATAGAAAATCGTCAATGTGAGAGAAAGAAAAAATAAAAAGAAAAAGAAAAAGAAGAAAAGAAAAAGAAAATGAAAAAAAAAGAAAAAAAAGAAGAAAAAAGATTATAAACAAAACGAGTGGTCACGTCTAATAATTATAATTATAATATTTTAATTATATGAATTCGAAAGGAAGTTTTTCAAAATACCTGTTAAGGAAACAGACAAAACAGGGAGAATTGCAGATTGGTACGGAAGGAAGTTTCCCCACTCGAAGAACGAGGTAACGAGATTGGCTTTTTCGCGTCGCTAGACTGGTCACGGCGTCAGTAAATTGACCGATAATGTAGCTTGGCACTGATTGCTGGATAGCAATGATGAATGCACGAGGGACACCCAACCGACCCTCTCCCTCCACGCCCCTTACTCCTTCTGATACTAGCCTCTCGATGCACGCCAAGGTCGATGACCTTGCACGAGCCCTCGGGTACTCTTTGGCGCCACACTCTGTTCGTTCTTACTTTTCGTTTTCTTCCCTTTCTCTTTCTATCTTTTTATCATTGTGAAATTCATGTTTGGTCTTCCTATTTTGAAAAATCATTCCTATTGACTTTAACCAAACGCCATAAGATGGAAATTATTTGTCTTGATCTAACTGGTCAAAAGTATGATTCCATCAGACTCATCCTATGCAAAACTGAATAGCGGTATGGTGAGACAGAAGAGAATGAAGCAATTACGAAAATTTTTTTCCCGTTTCGTCATTACGTCCAAAGATCAATTTTGTCTGAATCATGTAAGACAGTGACTTTGTATCTTTTTTCGATATCTTCACGTGTTAGCAGACTTTGGAGTTTGGTATTTTTTTGTTGCTTTTTTCTTTTTCTCTCTTTTTCATTTGGAAAAAGTATTAATTATGGATTGATCTTGAAGCAGGTAAGCTCATTAACATCGACGAGTACAACATTCTCTTAAAAAGAAATTTAAAAAAAAGAAACAATATACTTCTTTGAATTATTCGTTTTTATCAACAAGATCGATAAATCTTTAACAGCGCCAATATATCTGAACTCGTTATCGACACCTTTTCTTATTCTTCTTCTTCTTCTTCTATCTATCTATCTTTCTATTCTATTCTATTCCATTTTCTCTGTTTCAAGATGTAGGATCTACGAGCATGAGATGTAAAAGAGCGACATAAAGTACGAATGAGACGAAACGAGCTAGGAAGGTGACGGGGTAAAATGAGAACGAGCCACCCCCGCTCAACGATAACAAATGGTCCTTTAGAAATTCTGCGTGACCGAGCGCAGGTGGTATCCGATGGTGAAACGCCCACGTTTTCTTTTTACACATCCGTTTGTTCCATAACTATTTCTCTCTCAGTTCTCTTAAAATTTTCTTTATTACGGAAATACATTCGTTCAAAGCTTCCCTTTCATTTCTTTACAAATTTATCGCCCTTTCGTAAAAATTATCGAGGAACTATGAACATCGTTAAAATTCTAACATATAATACAAATCGAATTTATCGTTTATACCAATATTAAATAATTGAAAATATTACTGATCTTACGAATGAATATAAATCAACATTGTTCATATTATTATTAAATAATTGACGATATTATTAATATCTTATAAGAATTAGTATAAATAAAAATTGTTAATAATTATTGAATATATTATTAACATATATCTAATTGTTCTTTCTTGATGACTGAATAATTTTCTTTATTTATCGATTGATGATATTGAAATAGTGGATGTCATGTATAAAATAAAAGAATTTCAATGTACACATACAATATATGTATAACGGATACGAAGAAAGCGGCGGGATCCATGTAAATCCGTATGCGAGAAAGGTACCTTTAGCATGATCCTCTCAATGTCATCGATCTCAGATCGTCGTCGCATCGCTCGAGCCGTCGTGGAATGTGCACCGCTCCGGTTTCAACCTCAACACGCCGCAGGAAAAGTTCTTAACATTATTAAAACCAGTTAGTCACAGTGGAACTGCTTCGGTCGCTCTTATCGGATTATAATTGTGGATTACGAGTTCTCTCTCTTTGACTTTTCGATAGAGTTTTATTAATACGACGTACGCCTATTTACGTCAAGACTTATGTAAAAAAGAAAAACGAAAAAAAAAGAAAATAATTCCTTTCAATTATAAAATTGATCGAAAATGATTAACGTAAATCAAAGACCAATATTGTATAATTTAAAAAACTAGACGATAATTTACGTCAAAGTGTTATTTGTTTTACTTCATGATTTCTACCTTACCGACGAGACTTTCGTTACCGATCGAGGTATCGCCAGTGATGAAAATTAGAAACACATACCTAAATTAATGTTACTCGATCGATATTGAAGTAAACTTCTTTCAATGCATCATAAGATATAAACAATATTGATATAATAATAATAAAAAGAAAAAAAAAAAAAAGAAAAACAAGAAATAGAAAAACTCTTCATATAAAAATTCATTTTATCATATACTTTCTTTTGAAAAGAAAGGTAACAAATTTATATATTATCACATATTTGAGATTTTTATAAATACGATAACAGACTTTTTTTATGTATTATTATTAAAATAAAAATATATAAAAATGAAAATAGAACTAAAAAGAATTATATAATATTGATCTCTAATGTATATGTTAGCTTTAATTTCAAGAAAAATAATTTTGTTTGTTACGTTGACTTTTCTTTTTAATGAATCCATTATACTGTTTGTTTAATTTCCAAGATTATCGTGCATTTATGATACTAGATGATAGTGTAATACGGAAAAAGAGATCGTAAATGCTGAAAATGACGCAAAAGAGGAAATACGATGTAATATATATATATATATAAATATAAGTAGTACTTCTATTGGATTGATAGACGTAGAATATTATTTCTAACCAATAGAATAGTACCACATGTAACGAAGAAAATCGTCGACCAATGAAAGCAGAGTTCAGAATGAGTAGAATTTTTCGTGGACGTAATGCTTGCATGCAGTCGATTAGTCGTATTGCATCAGTCGAAGGTGATATAAGGGAGTTTTTGATAAATTTTGCTTTTGGTTATGTGTTTTGTCAGTCTACACAAAACACTTGGAAGGACAGTGTTAGATCATCAATCACGAATGTACGATAAAAACTTGTGATAGAAAAGTGATAGATCGTATTTTTATTTGTTATTATATATATATTATATATACATATATGTACATGAATGAATATGAGTGCATTGAAGAGCGTTGTCATCGCATTTCCTAAGGGTCTTTCCAAGGGATCTGCTATTGTGCCCAATAACGATCTTGTCAGATCGGTTCCAAAATTAAATTTTTCAACGTCAATTTTAACCGATAAAACGACGGAAATGGATATAACGAGAAAAATACCAAAGCAGGAAGAACTCCACGAGGAAAGTACATTTTTCAAACCAGATGTCTGTATTAGAGGAAAAAAACGTCGTCTTGATCATCTCACGTGGGAGGAAAAATTACAGAGGAAGTACGTTGGAAAATGTGTTTATTAAAATTCTATTTTCAAGTAAAAAAAAGAAAGAAAAAAAAATGGATTCCATCGTAATAGATGAAAATAATTGATTAAAATGGTATATTTTTTTATTTTTATTTTATAGGAAATTAAAGAACAGAGTAGCAGCACAAACTTCGAGAGATAGGAAGAAAGCTAAATTGGATGAATTGGAAGAAACTGTTAGAACGTTGAGGGAAAGAAACGATGTATTGACCCAAGAATGTGCATTATTGAAGTCACAAAATGAGTCGCTTATAAGTGAAACAAAAATATTGAGGAGAGAAAGGGAAACGAGTAATATGAGCGAGCAACTTTGTTCATCGTGTCAGGCTCGTGTCGGTTGTCCTGTACCTTCACTGGGATCTGCAGTATCCCCACAAAACCCTCTGCCGCAGGGTGGGACAGTACAGTCGGCACCATCCCTGACACTAACACCAGGAGCAGCCATATTACTGAAGATTATGACCCTTTACCTCCTCTCGAAGAATTATTTGGAGATCTCCAAGGGGATGATTACATCGATCGACTCGAAGAACTTGCAGAAAGCCTCCTTCGAGAAGTTACCGCAGAAGTGGAAGCAAATTCTCATAGATCAAATGAACAAGTGAGTTTTAATTGAGGAAAAACATTAATCTATCTGAGACAGTATTTATATATGTATATATATATATATATATATATATATATATATATATATATATATAATTATATATATACATACACCTCATCTACTCAGTTAAATGTTTCTTCAATTATCAGATCTTCCAGAAATGGATGAAATATTCTAAAGTAATAATAATCTATATAAAGAAAAATTTAATATATTATATATATATATATAATATATTAGCATTCTCATGTACAAAAGAATGTTCATCCATTTCTAATGTATCTCTATATCTTTTTAATTCAGTTTTTTCTTCATTAATAATATAATCATCTCCATAGGTGTCAAACGAAGAAAATACAATTAAAAAATCTGATAATTCAAAAAGAATGGTGGGGCAGACATCAAAAAATGTGGAAACCGATACAATCGTCGCTTGTAGAAGCGTGAACGATTACGATAATTGGCATCTTAACTGTAGCACAGACGTCACGCATATTGTTCTGGATAATAAACGAACAACACCGGTATCCATTAAAAATGAAATTGAAGTTAAACAAGAACCCGATATGAACGATATGGAAACAGTATATGGTACATACGACGAAACTACAAATTCTATAACTATTATTTATCCTGGCCAAGAAGATAATGTAGGCATTCAGGAATGCGTACAAGAAATAAGCTCTGATAATGTTTGTCATACTGATGATGTAACAACATCGTTAACAACCTATCACTCTTATTCCGATCAATTTTCACCTGCTTACACGTGCACAGACATAATGTCACCTTCGAGTATATATTCGGACAATGTCGATGCATCTTCTTCGATCAAATCAGATTCACATTTTTCAGACGGTGGTTATGAATCTCACGATTCCCCTAATGCAGATATACGCAGTAAAAAAAAAAGAAATAACAATAATAATAATAATAGTAATAATAATCATAATAAAAATAATCATAATAATAATAATAATAATAATAATGTATGTTTAACCGATCTTTGGCACGAAAGTTTTACAGAATTATTTCCAATGTTGGCTTAAAATTCAACCAATTTAAATAGAAATTTTATCATTGCTTAATCTTTCCAAAATACAAAAGTAATGAATGATTCATGAGACAAAAACATATGAATGGATTAAACTCTCTTCTTATGTATGTATTTACTCTCTACATATCTTGTCATATTGCACAAGAAGTAATGTGAACAAATCATTTCAAATAATTCATTGAACAGTAGTAATAAAAAGCGTATACAGAGGGCGGGGGCAGAGGCGGGAAAAGTGAGATTGTTATATATATATTTTTTATATGAATTTGTAAAACCAATTTCTTTTGTTTTTGGTTTTCTTTTTTATACTTTCAATGTTACACTCGGTTAATTAGTAAGTTAGCAATCTTGTAGCTTCACTGTATACTGTATATTATTTTATACACGTATACACACTTTTATCTATTAAAAAAAAAAAATATCTGTTAATGTGTCTGTATGTGTGTATATATATATATATATATATATATATATATATATATATACACACACACACACACATATATATATATATATATATATTTATTGAATAATTATTTGACGACATGTAAAATGCAAGTACTTACTGTGCGACAGTATGCCAAATAAATCGTGTATACAATATTTCTCTGTTTATTTAAATTATATATCCTTGATCTCTTAATCTATATGTCACGTTTTTAATAATAAAAAAAAAAGATAAAAAAAAAAACTAAACCTCACACAAGCTGTACAGTGCATAAAAGAAAATAAAAAATTCTCATATTTTGTATATGAATGCATGTAGTATATTTTGCTTACATTTTCAGCTATTCTATACTATTACATCATTGTATATGTATTATATACCTTCGTATGAACTCTTGAGAAAGAAGTATCATGTACACTTACTATAATGTCTATCTCGAAAGAACGATAGAAATAAACGTGTGTGATGATTCGATCTTTATTTGATTAAAAAAAAAAAAAAAAAAAAAAAAAATAAAAATAAAAAAATTAAATGGAAAATGAATATCGTTGCTTGCTCGGAATTAATCGCTTTAACTGTACATAAATATTTCATAAATATAATTATGAAACTTAATGAACATATCCATTTAGAACTGTTCTCATTTTATATATATATATATATATATATATATATATATATATATATATATATATATATAAAATATGGATTATATATAGAAATTATTGGAAACAATTAAATTACGTACATATCATTAGTTGAAAGTAAAATTATTAAAAAGAAAAAAAAAATGAATTAGTTAAAACACATTGTGAATTAGCACCCTTTTTTTCATTAATCTTTATACATTTATGACGAAAATTTTAATGTCATACTTTTTAATGTCCTTCCTTTAAAATATGTATGTACGTATGTATGTATGTATGTATGTATATATGTACGTCCATGTTTAAATATTGGAAGACAATACAAAGCGTATTATCTATTGAGGGACTTTATTAAATTTATTTTTATTGAGAAAAAGAGAAAGAGAGGGAGAGAAAGAGATGTAATAAAAATGTTATAACTAACATCTACTTATCTTTCTACTTAAGAAAATTAAGGCGTATAAAAATTTTAAAAGGCTGTATTAAGCTGTAGCAAAATGATTAATGAACTTTAATTTTCTTTTTTTTTTTCTAGTTCATCATCGCATCGTTTAAAAGTTTAAAATTATAATAATAATAATAATTATTATTACTATTACTAATAATAATAATAATTATTATTATTATTACTATTATTATTATTATTATTATTATTATTATTATTATTATTATTATTATTATTATTATTATTGTTATTATTATTATACGTATCTATAGATGTGTCAACGGTTCGTGTATTATGAATTTCATTCTTATTCATTTATGTGTGAATTTATAAGTTCTTTTTTCTTCGTTCGTTTATAGATAAAATCTTGAGTAAGACAGCCCTATCACTTGATCATCGTGTAAATAATGAACGTATGAAGTATAACGATATTTGTCGGGTGATTTTATCCAAAAAGTTTGTCGAAGCACCCATGGCAGTATGGTTTATCATTTTGTTCCTTGAAAGTACCCTTATTTAATTGTTTTAAACAAAATGCACAGACAAAGTGCTCTGGATGGAATTTTCGGAACATGGCAGTTATACAGCGTCCTATAATTAAAAGAGAAAAAGAAAAAAAAAACAAACAAAAAAAAAAGATAATTAAATTTAAGTAAAATTTATATATTCATTATTATGTACTGATATTTACCTGTTATTGGTTTATGACAGCCAGCACACAATGACCCTCTTTTGGCATGATAATGTGTTTCACAATACGGCAATCCTTCGTGATCAAAAAAGGATCCCCCTTGAAACTTTTGCCTGCAGTCCTGCAAAAATATCAATTTGATTTTCATTAATTTTTTTTTTTTTTTTTATTTTTTTTTATTTTCTTTTCTTTAATATTATTTTTTTTTTTTTTTTTTTTTTTTTTTTAATTATATTATATATTTTTACTGACAATTAAATTATTTTAATAATAATATGTATTACAATTTCAAATCATTGTTATTCATATCTTTCTTATACGATTCAAATATCTATAAAAAAAGAAAAAAAAAAAATAATGCGTTTTATAAACACATAAAATTGTTAAAGATAAAAACATATAATTTTATATTAAATAACAATGACGACGAATAACAATGTGTTAAAATTATATAATTTACATTTTATAAAAAATAAAAAAAAAGGAAAAAAAAAAGAAAGAATGAATCAAAAACACAAATGTAGACGAATGTCTCAAATGTTACACGAATGTAGACGAATGCATACAAATGTACACAAATCTATTTAAAAAAAAAAAAAAAAAGAAAAAAGAAAATTCTCATTTTATGTAATCTCCATATATACTAACTAAATATACCAATCGATTATATGTGTGACGGTAATAATAATAATTTATTTGTAGAATATGAATCATGCCATATAAATAAAATTTATCGAAAAATTGACGAAAATCATATTACTATAAACGGTGTATGTGCGTGTACGTGTATGTATGTTTACGCACGCACACACATACATACATACATCATACATATCAAACAATAACACACGTAAAAAGAAAAAGAAAACAGAATACAGAGGAAATTGATCAAAGAGCGATCGTACGGTTAGACATATTTCTAAAATTAGACGGCATGAGTGCAGCACGGCCGTGTTCACACGGGCTTTCAACGAACACGCGTACGACTTTGTCGCACGCGGTTCAATGTCACCCTAGTGTTGTTCGCTATGTGTGTTTTGTTTTTTTGTTTTTGTTTTGTTTTTTTTTGTTTGTGCTTTTTTTTTTCCACATGTATATATGTATATATATTTTTTTTAATAATAATTTATTACATTCTTTTTCTTTCTCATTAGCCTCATACATATTTAATAACATCTTTAACATGTAAGATTACATAAAACGATCCTTTAACTATTTCGATTGAGCTCAAATAAAAAATAATTGCTATCAAAAAAAGAAAGAAAAAGAAAAAAAAAAAAAGAAAGAAAAAAGAACACACAAAAAAAAGGAGAAAAAAATGTGAATGCGAAAAAGCTCCCCATTAGACTTTTAAAAAGAACATTTAACGATAACGATCGCGTTCGTGTACATGTGTGTTTTTTTTTGTGTAATGGAAAAAAAATTCTGCTCGTCGTTCGATATAACACCTGTTCGAGAAAAAAAAACAAAGAAAGGAATAGAAGAAAAAAAATGTTGGCACTACATTTCTCGAGCCAACGAAATAAATGAATAACATCTGGGGGAGGGCGGGTAGTCGAGTTTCAGGCAGGGTTAAGGGGTGGGCGGATGGAATAATAGACATTTTCTATAAGAAAATAGAATAATAATAATCAACGACTGTGAACATCGCAAAATTCATTTTTCTTTTCTTTTCTCTTTTTTTTTTTTTTTTTTTTTTTAGGCCGCTTCTTCCTCTTCCTCTTCTTCCTCATCCACGCCAACACATTTTGGACATACTGGTTTTCCTTCCATAGCATAGAATGATTTACCAGAAACCGGTTTCTTGCAATCCTGTAATTGTTAACATTTAAAACACACAAGGACGACATATGAAAATTCCAAAAAAAAAAAAAGAAAAGAAAAAAATCAATCGAATCCAAATAGGTAACGTTGCGATTTGATCTCCTGTTAAAATCAACATATCATTGTCATTATTAATTATTTAATCAATTAATTAATTAATTAATTAATTATTATTATTAACAAATTAAACGTACTCTGCAGACGAAACAATCCGGATGCCATTGACTGTTCAATGCAGAAATATAATTTTCTATGATTGCTCGATTACAACCACCGCATTTAGGTGCAAACATGTCGAAAAAATCCTCCCGACAATATGGCTTTCCATCTCGTTCATGGAAACCTTCCTCACCAAATTGTTTGCCACACTGAGCACAGAAAAAGTGTTCCGTGTGCCAAGTCTTCTCCAAGGCGGTAACACATTTCTACAAAAAAGTTATCTTTTATCATGTCTGATTATCCTTAAAAGACATCATCATCATCATCATCATCATACATATACACATATATATAAATATGTATATACATATATATATATATATATATTTATCAATCTATCAATGATGATCTTGAATATCTTACGTCGAGAATTGGACCATTGCAATAAGCACAACGTGGTGAAAAAAGATTATGATAATCAGGTTCACAATAGGGATGTCCTTCTCTTTCAAAAAAGTTACGTGTACCCAATTCTTGATTGCAATGAGTACATGTGAAGTGTTCAGGGTGCCAGGTCTTACCCAAGGCCGTGATTACCTAAATGAGAAGATAATGAATAATGAAAATGATGGAATAAAACAATATATATATTTATATATATAGAGAGAAAGACAGAGAGAGAGAGAGAGAGAGAGAAATAGAGAAATGATGTAGATCAAGAAGATTGATTGATCGTCATTCACCTGGCCTACGATAGGTTTTTCGCAGGCACTGCAGCATCCCTTTTGCGTAGTGTTCACACCTTGGCGACTCATATCTGCCTGGAGATTTCCTAGCATAGAATCCAATTGATTCTGTTTGATTTGTGTCGCGGCTTGTGCAGTATGACTTTCCCCGTGTTGTTGTTGCTGATAATGATGTGTTGTTTGAGTTTCTGTAATGTGTATTCTCGTTTGTGTACCCTCAGCCGGTGGTAATGGGCTTTGCGAACTTTTAGTCGCTTTATTGGGTTTAGCGTATGGAGAATCGGTCACCGTTTGATGTTGATGAGAACTGCTATTGATCTGGAAAATAAACGGGACTATGAAAGACCTTGTAGTTTTATTCATTTATCTAGAAATAATACGAAAACAAAATAATAATAAATAAATAAATACATAAATAAATAATTAAATAAAAATCGAAACAAAAATAAAAATGGACAATGAAGTAGAACAATCCAATCTACTTTTTTCTTTCTTTCTTTTTTTCTTCTTTTTTTTTCCTTTCTTTTTTTCTTTTCTTTTCTTTTTTATTCTTTTTATTCTCATCAAAAATCTTAAAGCTTTGGAACGTGGAAGTCTAATATAATCTATAAGAAAATGTCAAGGTAAGATTTTCAAGGTATCTTATGTGAAAACTAAGGAGAGGAGAAAAAAAAGAGAAAAAAAAAAGAGGAAGCGTTGTTTAGATCCTCACTGTGGGAGATGTCGAGTGTTACAGGCGAGCTTGCAGACTGGCCGAAAGCTTTCGGTGGCTTCGTGGATCACTAGACACCTCTCCCCACCCCCCTTCTTCTTCTTCTTCTTCACTCACCCCTCCTATATATTTTCCCTCCACGCCACGTAGAGACATAGTGAAAATCAAGAGAAGTGGAGAAAAGGAGACGCCAAAAGAGAGGGGAGAGGAATAGGAAGAGCGTAACCGGGTAGGTAATTCTACTGCTCCGGTGGATGGTGGAATGAAAGTTATTTTGGTAACTCGCGGAGCCAAGAATGGGCAGGAGTAGTTTGAACATCACTGTTTTCTGATTCTGCAGTGAATTGAGAGAGTGTGAATAGCCCACATATTACATGTCAGTCTTACCAAAAAAGAAAATAATAGTCAATTAGGAATGTTCTTTTTTTTTTTTCCTTTCCTTTTCTTTTCTTTTCCTTAAGACATTATCAATCATTAACATGTAAATCCTTGACAATTGATCTTAACTTTTCTTCGTCATCAGCTTGATCCTCACCTTCTCTTTATCCCCACCCACCCCTATACCCCTTCTTGTCTCTCTTTATTTTAAGAGTCAAATAAGTTATACCTTGAACTCGGAAAGGGAGGCCATCAAATCGTCGAGCTCTTTCGTTGCGTTACTGGCAGTATGACCGTTGGCATAACTACGTTGTTGAATCTCTGATCGATTCAAGGAACCATGCTGACTCGAAGGATAACCATCATAGACCGGTTGAATCTCTGTTGAGGTTTCCTGTATGGTGACCTTCACTCTACCATCACTGGGATAATCCCTAACGATGATACAATTTTTCTTGTTGTTGTTATTTTATGGTTTTTTTTTTTTTTTTTTTTTTTTTTTTTTTTTTTTTTTTTTTTAATGAAAATTTGTACTTACCCATTAGGCACCGCTGTGTTAAGTTCCTCGAGCAAAGCATCGACGGTGGGGCGAGGGGCTGACATACTACTTGGTGAGCGTAGCATTGGACTAGTCGTACCCCCATTTACACCCCCCGTTGATACGTGACTATCTAGAAAGACGGATGTCTTTTATCGACTTTAGTTCGAAGGTTCTTCACTTCAAAGAAATTCAGTATGAATAACGTAGAGAGTTAAGAAGTAAAGTTATTTAATATATTTTAATATATGATTAATATAATATTAGTTCTGTTTAATAATTTACGTATATATTTAATATCAAAAATATAAAATATATTTTTAAAAATATATTCAATCTATTAATATTATTAAACAATAATACCATGATAAATGATATATAATTAAGTAAACATTTTGTAAACATTTTATATATTAAAAATAGATAGATATAATCTCTACGTATTATTCAATATATTATCGTAAAAATTATTAAAAAAAAAAAAAAATAATAATAATAATAATAATAATAAATAATATTATTTGTTTCATAAACTCTTCTAGATAAGTTTATTCATTTTTAGACAAATAATAAGACTCGAAACTAACCTCTCTCATGATAATGCGAATTGTAACGTGCATTGCTCAAATCTTGAAGCAACGTGTCCAGTTCAGAAAGATTGTTGTTCAACGATGGCATTTTCCCACCAGTGCTAGGGTTTTGCGTATAAGTTGTACTCGAAGATTTTGTGATGGTCTCCTCGATGGCCTCACGATTTTGATAAGTCGGCTGTAATATTTGTAGGTCAAACGTAAAACCCGAAAGATAGTATATCTCGATGAATTTTCGAAGAAACTTTTTTTTCCTCCACCTTTCAAAAATATTTGGACAACAAAAGTAACAACGTACGTACGTACGTGTGTTTGTTTATGTATGTGTTTTTAAACATATATCACACACGAGAAGATATAAATATATTTATATATGCAAAACATTACGAACTTTCCGTGACGAATTTTCGTCAGGTGTGGAATAGTAATTTATTCACGATAAATCAAAGTGAGATTATTAATACCAGACAAATCGATTTGTTTTTCGAACAATAAGATCGAAACAAAAGTCGTAAACATTATAACAAAAATCTCACAATAAATGGACACACCCACACGCTGCATGCACACGCACGCACACAGAGAGATTAATCGAAAACGATTTTAACAACACTTTAAATAACTCTTTAGAATTTAATTTTTTCATATATAAAAGAATTGCATAATATGAAAATTATATACAGTATTATTTATACCAGTATAATTATATTATATAAATGTATATGATATACTAAGAATAATATAATTATATACAATGGTGTAAAATTATATTAAGTATTATAATTATAATATAACTAGTAAATTAATATAATATATTTATATATTACTTACATTATACTACTATAATTATACCAATTATAAGTATATACAACTAACAATAAGTGTGGTATATTTACAAAATTATAAAAAAGAAAAAAAAAAGAAAAGAAAAAAGAGAAAAAAGAAGAAAAATAAAGAAAACATCTAAATTAAAGTAACGATTAACTTTTTCTTTCAATAAAATGAGATAAAGTGTAAAAAATAGAAAATGCAGATACACGAAAGTTACAGGACGTCGTAGAAAATTAACGCGGCAAATAAACGCGGCTTTTTAAAATTAATTAGAACAGTAGAATAAGAAAAGATCACATAAGATATTTTTAATGTGTACGTAGATGAAACATAAAATGTAAATGCATATATATATATATATATATATATATATATATATATACATGTATGTTTGTATATCATAAACGTGAAAGAGCATGATTTTTGGCTTCTTTACCCACTTTTATCACTCTGCCAAAATCCTTAGGTACGCACATTATTTTGAAAACATGATGTCATTATCGACTATACTAAACTGCCTTTGTAAATACATACATTATCAATTAGCAAAGAAGAAACGAGCGCGAAACAAGGCGTACGTATATATATACATATATATATATATATATATATATATATATATATATATATATATGTATGTATATTTCCAATCCAATCCAATCCAGACGCTTGCCAATAAGTTTATCCCGTGAAGGTCTCGTTTGATACAAAATTATCGTGTTAACGCATCTCTCTCCACCGAGGATCAAAATAATTCCAGTATTTATATAATAATTTATTGTGCGCCCGCGAATATTACGACGCTTCGTCTTTGGGCGTTTACAAGCTAATAATAATAATAAGAAGAAGAATAAGAAGAAGAAGAAGAAGAAGAAAATAACGACGATGATAATGAAATTAAACATTTGATAAAATCGTTGGCAATAATTGATTTTTTTTTTTAATATAAAGATAAACAGTGATCCACTTGAACTGTAACAAACTATTCTTATATGATTTCTATTTTGCTGGGTTAATAGAAAAAAAAAAAAAAAAAAAAAAAAAAAAAAAAAAAAAAAAAAAAAAAGAAAAAAAAAAAAAAAAAAAACCAATAAAAAAGAAATATCAAACACGATTGTTTAACTCGTATAATTTCTCTTATGTTCAATTAAAAAAAAAAAAAAAAAAAAAAAAAAAAAACACGATTGCTTTTAAGATTAACAATATTAACAAACAAATCTGTATATTCTATGAATAGAATATATAACACTTTATGTTGTTGTTATGATCATCTTGGAGAAAAAAAAAAAAAAGAAAATAACAACAAGAATATTTTTCTTTCTTTTTATGATGACATTCGACTATGGAAAATCCCTTCTTTTTGTAATAAAACATTAGAAACGGCATATCCTTCGAAACTAGGTTGCCTGCAAAGTTACCAATCCAAAAATATCCGTAGCGAACGAGTAGAAACATGTCAGCAAGACGTATCGGATTATCACACGAAATCGTAAAGTTTCAGGAAAATATCAAAAACGAGAATAAAAGAGAGAGAAAGTGGGGAGACAATGGAGAATAGGTTGGTAAAACAACAAAGATCGAAGTTTCAACAAATTCGAAATCGATTTCGAATTCGCGTCCTTGTTCGAATTCAAAGTCCCAATTGTATTCGACCGACTTTTATCTTGTGAAAAGAATAAATAAATATCGATGAATATTGCGATCGTGAAATTCACTATGCCATACGAGTTTATAAATAACTTCAATGATCGAACAATAAATTAGATTTCGTTCATGAATAAGAATAAAATGACTAACATATTATAAAAAACAAAAAGGAAAGAGAGAGAGAGAGAGAGAGAGAGAGAGAGAGAGAGAGAGAGAGAGAAGAAAAAAGAAACTTTGAAAATCGACATATAGCGAGGATTCGAAAATAAAAAAGGATGATAAATAGTAAAAAAGATGAATTGATTAAATCTATCGAAGAAATGAAAAATTAATCAACTTGCAAATACCATTTTTCCATTTGAAATGAAATTGCAAAATATTTTTTTGTTACTTTTTAGAATAGAATAGATTATGGTCTATTAAATCTGCGTTAAAAATAAAATGAAATAAAAAAAGAAAAACTAAAAATAAAAAAGAAATAAAAAAAAAATATAAAATATAGATATGTATATGTAAGGATATATACATGCATATACTTATTATAAAAAGTAACAAATAATAGAAAATTTTATTAAATGTATAATTCTTATTATAATTAAAATGTGTGTGTTCGTGCGTTTGTGTGTGTTTGTGTGTGTGTGTGTGTGTAAAATAATTATAATGTCTAAAATAATTTATAATGATTTCTTTGAAATAAATTATTTATATGTAATGCAAAAGCAATAAAAAATAATTTGACCCGATTTCACAAATAAAAATTATTTAATTATTTATTAAAATAATTTATTAGAAATGAATTATTATTGAAAAATTGATCAGTTTAATCTAACTTCAAAATCAAACAAAAAAAAAAGATATATATATATATATATATATATATATATATATATATATATATATATATATAGAGAGAGAGAGAGAGAGAGAGAAAGATCCAAAGAAAATCAATAAATAATAATGAATCGAGATAAAGATCTCAACTTTGTGCATTTTATCCACAATATAGCTTTTATTGTTTATATGAATTGCTGCAATGATCACATTCTGTTTATACAAACGAGAAATGTGTCAACACATCGAAATTATATATCTAACTTACGTAGAAACATTTCCTTGGAATATCTAAGACAAACATTTGGCGTTGCACACGATACAAAAAACATATAATTCGTCGAACGATCAAGAATCTTTTTTCTTTGTACTTTTTTTTATTTTCTGTTTGTCTTTTTCCTTTTTTTTTTCTTTTTTTCTTTTTTCTTTTTTTTTTCTTTTTTTTTTCTTTTCTTTTAATTTGAATAAAATATCTAACGTCTCAAAATGATAATTTATTAAAAAAAAAAAAAATGAGTTATTATTATCGGCCTTATGCACGCTATGAATAAATATGTCCACTTATATTTGCACAATCACCTCCATCTTTTCTTTTGCATAATCGAGATCCATTATATCTATTAATATTTAAATGCAATTCTTATGATGCAAATCGCGTAACTTATTTTTATTATTAGTATTATTATTATCATTGTTTTTTTTTTCTTATATATTATATGCAATATATGAACACTAATATAAAAAAACACCTACATACGTATATTTATTTGTGTATGTGTATGTGTGCACTTGCATATATATATATATATATATATATATATATATATATATATATATAACTATAATTGAAAATTGAAATAAGAAACTGTATTATTTATTGTATCATATATATACACAATAAAGTTAACAATATTTATAATGTTTGTTTACAGGCACGCACCCTTAGTGTGTGTGTGCGCGTGTGTTTACAGTGTATACTTATAATAAAAAAAATAATAATTTGCAACTATTTTAAATCATTCGAAGCAGGTAAAAAAATTTGCGCGTAGAAAGTGAAACGCAAAAGATATAAATAATTCAGTCTGTTCTGCAACTAGAATCAATAAAATTGACGGGAAAAGAGACAGGTGTTCTTAGAAAAACGATCGATAATAGTCTTCATACTTTGTTCGTATGTAAGTACGTGAACTATAGTCCATTTCTTATTCGCGCGTTTTTTTCTTCTTTTTGAGTTCAACGTTTGTGTTCTCCATGGGGAAGGAAAAAAAAAATAATAATAATAATAAATATACGATAATACCAAAACACAATAATAATAATACAATAATAAAATAATAATAATAATAATAATAATAATAATAATAAAAATAATAATAATAATAATATAAAATAATAAGAGCGAATATATTTTTATTCTTCGATTCGATCTAATAACAAAAAATGTTAGATATTAGATTAATTAATATAAACGATATAATATAATGTTGCATAATGTACTAAAAATAAATGAAACAACTAATTCATTTGACGAGTATTGACTTTAGTTTTGATCGCATCAAAGAAAAGGCCTTTCCTCTTGTATATATGTTTTTAAGATAAAAAAGAAAAAAAAAAAAGAAGAAAAAGGAAAAACAAGCTCCATCAAAGTCGAGGATTTAGCGACGATGAGAGTCGATTTTAGACACCATATTGCTTCTAACTTTAGACACTTCTTACGCCACACACGCTTGAAAGAGTTCTCTCCAAGTTGTCCAGACATCATTTTTCGACTATCTTTATCGATTATTATCATTATTATCTATCATTATCGAGTTACAAAGTTTCAATGTATTTCTTGTAAAAAAGAAGAAGAAAAAAAAGAAAAAAAGAAAAAAGGATTAAAAATAATTACGTTAAATTTATAATAAAATGCGATCGATTAAAATACCTTGAACAGAACTTATTAATTATGTTCATATTTTTTTCCTCATAGCGATTGGAAAGAAAAACAGAAATTAAAAAAAAAAAAAAAAAAAAAAAAAAAAAAAAAAAAAAAAAAAAAAAAAAAAGAAAAAAATGAGCACTTCGAATTCATCGAAATTAATTTCTGTATATATGATAATTTTATTAATATAATTACTTAATGTAATTTATGTCACAATTATAACAATTATTACGAACAAATTGACTATAATAAATAATAATAATTACATTCATTTTAAATATGTTAGTGAAATTTATTATGTATATATATATATATATAAACAAGAAATAAATAAAATAACATCTTTTAAATCGATTCGAGTTTTATCATTTTAAAATATTTAATAATTTATATTAATTATGATACAAGAGCCAAATATGAATATTCTCATTGTAAAAGACGAAACGAATATACTCGGTTAAATCGAATTTGGCACTCCATCGCGATATATCGACGAGTAAAGTTTATTTACGGATTCTTCTGGTTCGTACAGGCAGTCGCTTCCGTCGTCGAAGTAATGACGACGAGCGACCGCCGAACGGGATCGTTCTATTTCAGGATATTATGGAATATCAAGGGAAGGTCAACATCAGACTTTAAATTTGACCAAGATTTCACTAACAAAATGCGCGCGTGCTACCACTGTCGACATCTTTCGGAAAAATTTGACTTCAGATTAAAAAATTGACCGATCACCGATAACGTAGATATTCTTCTTATTAATCGACTTCCCATATAACATTAATTTTTATTAGAGAAAAAAAAAAAAAAAAAATATCTAACTGTACTTTCTTAAATATGAAAATAATTGTTTAATTAAACAATAAAAGAAAAATTGTATAAAAAATAATGTGTGACGAAAAAATCAGAAACTCGTACGTCGAATATTGATCGGAAGAATAAAAAAAAAAGTAATATTTAATTGTTTCTCTTGAAATGTGTGAAATAATTTTTTGAAATTATCGAAATACTATAAATAAAGCTATATTTTTATGGCGGAGGAAAAAAAAATAAAAAAATTAATTATGAAAAAATCAATAACGTGTATGTCGATAAAATGGAATTTTTGTTTTTTTATGATTTGTAATAGGATAATCGGTATGCAGATTCCTACGTTAACTTGATCAAGCCATCTATCAGGATAATGTTGCAACTATATATCACAAAAAAAATGTTAAGATTGATATAAAGAGATGGCACGTAAATTTTATCTTTTACTTTTTTTAATTTATTTTCATATAAAATTTGTTCAATTATCTCGATCGATAAGGTAATCATTAAAATATTTCCAAAATTAATATGAAATAAATTCAAATTTATAAGAATAACGTCAATCATTTGTAATAATCAACAAAGCCTTGTAAATGTAGTAAACAGATTAATTTCAATATGTGTTATTTAATAATTATTCTCTTTTATATAACTTATCACAAAAATCAGTATAATAAAATGCCATCAGAAAAAAAGTTTCAAGAGAGAAAAGAAAACTTCGTCATCATGTTTCCACTCGTGCTAATATGTATATTATAAATATTTTATGTAAACATCTCAAATAACGTGATTTTTTACGTGCCTTCGGCAAACTTCTCGCTATCACGAATAAAACTGGTATCACGTTTAAGTGCATAACAGATACAGCCGTGTCTAAAATAATCGGTGAGACATGTGGGTGTTCCTTTTCTTTTACGATCCATTAAGTATTCGATGGGATGATAGAATGATCGAAGAAGAAAAACATCGTTCTAACGAATATGACGTCTCCGATACAAAAAAAAAATCATTGCACACTTCCTTTCTCAGTCGATAACATCGCAGCGCGCTCATACATTATTTTATATACGACATTATTTTCAAAGTTGTTATATATTCAATATTTTTTTTTTACAAATTGATTTAAAATTAATTTCCTTTATAGATTGAAATATCTTATTTCCATTATTTACAATGTTAAAATTGATAAGAAAAATGGATTAATAAATTCTTCAACTAATTTTAAATGTTTATAAATCATTAATTTAACATCACATTGATGGATTTTTTATAATGTTTAAAAAAAAAAAAGAAAAAAGAAAAAAACCATCACAGACCTATCAAACAGCTTTCAATATTTATAATGAATCATTGATTTTCAACATCAAATTGATGGACGTCAAACAATAGACTTACCGATTGTGACGGTAATGGTGAAGTTCTACTTTCGTACGATCTGTATGCATTCGTATTATGCGTTCTTGCACCATTTAACGAACCGTAACCGGGTGTAGCGTTGCTACTAACGTGATTGCCTTCGGACGATACAGTATTTTGTAAATCCGCCAATAGGGCATCTGAAAAATAAAAATAAAGAGACGAGTTGTTTAAAAAATTTCGAACAAACAAAAGTGTTACTTCGTAATATCTAAATTATAAAATGATAACGAGGACAAGCTTACAAAACAACAATTTTGTAATATTTTCGTATAATACTTATCAGAATGTGTATTAATCGAAACGGATTTGGCGATGACGTCACGCATATACATATACATACATACGACCAATATTTAAAAAAGAAAAAAAAAAAAGAAGAGAAAAAAAAATTAATCGGCTTGACAATTTAATCCTTCGTGACGCCATCTTCGTTTTACACTATCGTTAGTATCTCGTATAAATCAAATATTGTATAGTTTTATATGCGTGTCATGTATGTGTGTGTGTTTGTATGCATGTTGTGTACAGAGACAAAAAGAAAAATAGATTTACCAAGATTAAAAAGATTATTATCAGCCTTGTCAACTTGATAAGTCTCGTAGATGTTATTATTCTCTGTATAAGATTGAAATGCACTGGTATCTTGTTCCTCCATGATAAATAAAACGAGTTGACGTTGAAACAAAACAAACTTCTTTCTTTTTTTTTTCTTCCCTCTGTCACTACAATATTTTTTCCTTAACGTTAAAATTCACGAATGTAACTTATCAATGTTGAGAAATATTTTCACATACTATTTGTCACTGTTCAAAGCGAACGCGTGTACGATATGCACATAAACGAGAAAGAAAAAAGGAAGTAAAAAAAGAAATGAAAAGAAAAAAGAAAAAGAAAATTAACCTGAAAAATCGTCTATTTCGTCATACAATAGAATTAAAACGAGGTAAGAAAAAAAGTTATAAGTTCGTCTTGATGATGTCATCCAAATGCAAAAGGTTAATGATCTTCGCTATTGTATGACGCGTCCTCGACGAATATTCTTGAGAAAAAATGTTCATTATTCGAATTTATTCACGTAAGTTGTTCGAAGAATTTTGATTATTTCTCAGATCGTTCGTTGCAAATCTTTTTCAAAAAGTTAACCTCAAACGTCGTCGTTATAGTTGTTAGTCGAGAATTTTTTTTTTTTTTTTATCGAAAATCTAACCACAAGAAAATATCTTACAATTAATTGTCGGAAATCTTTTTTCAAAAAAGTAACCTTGAAAACAGAAAAAAAGTTGATTATTCGTCTGAAAAATCTTTTTCAAACAACCTTGAAAAAAAAATGTTATGATTATTCATCTGAAAACCTTTTTTTAAAAAGCTAACCTTGAAAATATGTTTTTAATTGGAAAAACAAATCTCAAAAAAATTGTTTTGTACATATATGACTCTCTAGTAACAATAATAATAATAATAATAATAATAAAATAAAATAATAAAATAGTTAATAAAAGTAATAATAATAATAATAATAATAATAATAATAATAATAATAATAATAATAATAAATCGTGTCTATTTCACTAATACACACGTTCGCTTTTACTTCGCCGAAAAGAACAAAAAAAAATAATAAAAAACGAAGATGATTGTCTACCGAATGAGATATCCAATGCAAAAGTTCAAAAAGAAAAAAAGAAAATTCGATATTAAGTATCACGTGTGTCACAGTGCGTAAGGAAGAAATATCCGCACACGTACGTCCGATCAGCGAGACGATACTGATTGTCAATAAGGTTCTCGGTAAAGGCGAAGCTGCAAAAGAGAGGAGAGCAGGTCTAGATGGTTGCCCTGAGGAGGGGAGGAGGAGCCAGAGAGGGGAAAGAAGAGGATATGGAGGGAGAATTCTCGAAGCAAGAGGTAGAAATACGATGATACTGCCTTTCGTGTTAAGGAGAAGAGTTCCTAGACTTTTTCTCTCTCTCTCTCTCTCTCTCTCTCACACTCTCTCTCTTTTCAAGCAACGTGCAGCTGAGTGTCAGCTAACTCTTGATACGAAAAAGAAAGGCAGAAACAAAGTCGACAATGTGCAGGGAGATCATTCTAAAGAAAACACATCCTTTGAGAACTCTCCTCCAATAATTTTTCTTAGTTCTATGTTTCAAATCTTCAAATCGAAAAAAAGAGGAAGAAGAAAAAAAAAGAATTGAAAAGAACTTCTCTCTCGCTCATATATGATGCTCGCATATATATATATATACATATATATACAAAGTTATAGAATTTGAGGTTATGATAATGAATTGAACTCGAAAATAAAAAAACTGAAGAGAACGTATATTAAATATCTTTTCATTTTTTTTTTTTTTTTAGACGCTTAAAAAAGAAATGAGTTTATGACGACAAAACGTTGTAAAATAAATGAAAAAAATTTTACATGCATCTTTCTTCGAAACTGAATTTTTTTAATTCTATTTTGTTTGTGTTTATTAAGAAAAAAAAAAAAAAAAAAAAAAAATTTAGATACTACGTGTAAAATACACGGAAATGATAAACGCTTATATATGTATATACGTGTGAATGAGACCTAAATATTGGCCAGAAGCCCGTTCAACTTCAGAGAGTCCTATTTTATACATCTGATTCATACCGTCTAACGAATCCGGGCGTCAATATATTATTCATGCGAATGTGTGCGTGATCTCGTATAGATGACGAAGTAGAAAAAAACACAGTAAAGACAGAGAGAGAGGGGGGGGGGAGAGAGAGATAAAGAAATGCGAATAAATGAAGAAACCACACGAATGTACATTAATTACATATATACGTTAATTATATATAAAAAGAGAGAGAAAGAGATAGATACAGAAGAGAAAAAGATGGATAGAGAAAAAAGAGACAGGCATGAAGAAAATGTGAATAAATGAAAGAAACACATCAATGAACATTAATTACATATATACATTCGTCAAGATATATTTATATTCGATCAAACATCGAATCATTCGGAAACAAAACAAATAAAAAAAAAGAAAAATTATGTTTTTCTCGCGATAAGAATGATACTTACTAACGTATTGTTCCCATCGTGCATGTCGTTGAATAATCGCCAAACGAACAGGCGACATGGGTCTTATAACATCCGTCATATTTATCACGTTTTTATCGTTTATTCTTCTCCCTTTCTCTTTCTCTCTCTCTCTCTCTCTCTCTCTCCCTTTCTCACTTTTACACATACATACACATACAAAAACTCAATAAAATTTTCCTTTCAAAAGTGCCGCGAAATGTCAAAGAGATATCAATCGTCGAATTTTATCAAAGAGCCAGTGATCTATGTATAATAATATAGACTCTGGACGAAAAGGGTGCCACGTGATTGGCTAGTAAAGCGATTATATGTAAGACAAAAATAAACCTTGAATTAGAACGGGGTTAGAGAGATAGATTATTCGTTCGTATTACGATATTAAATCTGACCAACGTAAAAGTCAAACCACGTGGACGAATTTAAAGGTAGAAAGGAAGACATTTTTTATGTGAATATTTCAAGAACGTCCTTCTTTTTTTTTCTTTTCTTTTCTTTTCTTTATTTCTTTTTCTTTTTCTCTTGTAGACGTAAAAATCTACGGCACGTATGGCATCAGAAAAAAAAAAAAAAAAAAAATTTCACTTCTAACATTTTTCTTTTATCCGATCTCCTACAAATTTAGGATCTATTTGTGGTACGTTAGCATAAATCTTTTCTCGGCGTTAACGAATGGAACGAAACGGAACGGAACGGAAACGCACGTTAAGTAAAATTTGCGACGGGATCTACCTTACCGAGGGTAAGCAAAATTGCAATAAGAAGTTGAGAAGTTTTCTTTTACCTTTCTAGTTTCTCTTCTTCGTTATCGTATCTTTTTCAAGGTCATGTTTACTTTGGTCTGTAATCTTTATATCAGAAAGAGAAAAAGAGAGGGGAAATAAACAGAACATAAAATTTAAACTTTTGTGCTAACAATAAGATCTATTTTACTTTTGGTAAGTCGCCAAGTAGGAACTTATTTACAGTGCGTTGAAAATGCGCGTGCACGCAGGAAATCGACAAAATATAATAATAAATTTCGTACGGCTAGAAATAATAATAAAAATTTAAAAAAAAAAAAAAAATAATAATAATAATAATAATAAAAAAGAAAACAAATTTCGTGTTCCTATCAACTACTTATGTATTATCACTGACACTGTATTCAATTTTGTTGTGCTCTCTCATCCACGCTTTCTAGGAGTCGTAGAGTAAAAATAAAAAATAAAGAATAATGGAATTATAAATTTCGTATCTTGAGGAAAGAAATAAAAATAAAAACTTTCGACGCGTATACATAAATTTCCTACAAATAAATAAATAAATAAATAAATAAATAAATAAATAAATAAATAAATAAATTCGTCAGAATAAAATAATAAATTTGTTACAATAAAGAAGAAAGAAAAGAAATAAAGAACCAAAATAAAAACTAATAATAAAAACTAAAATAAAAATCAATAAATTCTTTTCCTATCAATTACGACGTATCACTGACACTCTTATCGACTTTGTCACGTTCACATGAATTTCTTACGGATAATATTGAAAATAAAAATGAAAAATGAAAAAAAGAAAAAAATATATTCGACGACGTACGAGTATAGTATTCTACGAAAGTCTCATACGATGGTGATCAAGGTCAAACCTACCAACGATAGATCGACGATATCACGTGACGAAAGAAAGAGAAAGGAGGAACAGAGAAAGAGAAAGAGAAAGAGAAAAAAAGAAACACAACACAACGTAGGAGTAAAGAATGTGCATCGACGAAAAGGCCCGATCGTCTGGTAGGACCAGACAGAACTGACTCTACTATGCACGTGTTAATCTCAAAAAGCTACACCTACAAAATATCATCGATAGTTACGTGAGAATTATTTTACATCCTTCTTCTTCTCCTCCTCCTTTACCTCCTCCCTACTCCTTACTTCTCACTATTTTCTCGATTCTAATCTCAAATTGTATATGTATCTACTTGACTATAGACAGAACATTTTCACCTAGATCCAAAACGACAGACTTTACAAAAATAAACCACCTTTTCCTTCCTCTTCCTCTTCTTCTCTATATTCATATGCATCTCTGTGTGTATGTGTGTGTGTATGTATATATCTTTCTACACTATTATTCATTATCCTCAACATTTGGCACACAACGATCAAAGTCACACACGCTAGTTTCTAAAACAACCTTGTAACGATCTATTTTCTTTTTTTATCTAATTTCTCTCTCTCTCTCTCTCTCTTCTCCCCCTCTTCCTCTTCCTCTTCCTCTTCACCTCTCTTCTCTATTTCCTTAATATCATTCTGTAATTTAATTACACTAGGAAGCAACCTACGAATTAGTAAACGTATGCGTAGGAAGTAGTATCGTTCTATGAACGAGCCAGATATGGTCATGAACTCTTCAAGTCTGATCAAAGAGGAAGAGGAATATCGATGTTATTTTTACCTTGGGAAAAAAAAAAGAGAGAGCGAGTGAGAAAAAGTAAGATAATGAGATAATGAAACATTTATAATTCGAGAATATTGAAAAAAAAAAAAAAGAAGAAGAAGAAGGAAAAGAAAAGTCCTTGAATGAATACACAGTACCTTCTTTGAGTCATATCCAATGATATTCGAATATAAAGTTATATCGAAGATTCGATTAGACTATTATTGAATTATTTTTGTACTTTAATGATATAAGAAAAATTGCCTTAATAGATACTCGAATATATTAACAGCAACGTCAGAGGTTAATTAAAAATAAAAGGGGAAAAAAAAAAAAAGAAAAGAAAAAACAAAATTTGCGTGACTCGACACGATTACGCTGACTGATAAAAACTGAACGTGAAACGTAAAAACCAATCACATTAGAAGAACACAGAATTAGATATCGTTTCAATAGAAACGGAAGGGATTGCCTTGATCGATCCAAAACCTTTCAAATATGCGATTAGTTTTCATCGTTATAATAAATCGAATAGAAATTTACATTTATTTAATGAAAACGAGACAAAAGAAATTTTTATTTATATTTTTGTTCATTCTAACAAGATGGTACTTTATATATATATTCTAAAAAAAAGAAAAAGAAAAAGAAAAAATATTCTACTATATTCGTTCGATTTCTCCGTTCTTAGAATGGCAAAGTAAAATACACACGAAGAGATTAGTACGTAACTGTGCGTTGTACGGTTTTCCTCGAGGTCAAGTAGGAATTTACTGCTACTGTATGTTTGCTCGATAGTTACGGAGCCTAATGCTTGGAAGAAGAAAAGAATACACAGACTTTGTTTTTTCTTCTTCTTCTTCTTCTTCTTCTTCTTTTTGTTTCACATCATCGAATATCAAAAGTACGTATTGGACGAACAAAAGATCATTAAGTTGACCATTTTGGATCCCTACGTATCGAAGATAAAATTTGATTTCCTTTCTAATGAGAAAGAAAGAAAGAGAGAGAGAGAGAAAGTAAAAAGAAGAAGAGAACATAATTAATCGTGATGCAAAGTAACAAATAACTAATGAATATTCGAACAAGTCTAATTTTAAATCTCACCTTTAGTCATGGTGAATGAATTCATTTCGCGTTATCGTATCAACGTAGTAGACGGCACAATATTCGAATTCTTTATAAGGAGAAACGTTGTTGATTACATCCGGACGCTGAGCAATCCATTTCCAAAGAAAAGAATTTCTCCTTATGCGGCTTCGCGTTAGTATATAAAAAGATATGACGTCACAATCAAATTCTTCTTTGCGTAATTGAAAACTTCGTAAATGATAAATATATTTGACATATTACGAAAACACTTCGTTTCGAACATCTCGCGATTTTAATATTTTTCGAATTTTCAACTCGTATGATTTTTCTCGATCATTTAAACTAGGGTGTTTTTTAACTCTACTTACGACGTAAACTGTCCTAACGAACGAAGTTTCAATTCTTACAAAGAGTCGTATACCTTTCACCACGCCTAACGTTCTAATTCAATTTATTCTTTTACTTTTTCTTTCCTTTGCCCCACCCCTCACCCCCTTCAGGAAAGTCATTTTCGAACGCGTTCATAATTTATATATAATGTAGAATTAATAAAAAATCCGTTTTTTCTTCTTATTATTGTTATTATTGTTATTATTATTATTATTATTATTATTTCAATGCTTCATTAGCAATAATTAATTTAAATAATTTTTGCAAATGATATGCAATAAATATCGACCGTCGGTAAGACAGGAATCTTCCGTTAATGCACAAAAAACTACAATCGAATTTAAATTTAAAAGTCCCTCGAATTATTTCAACATACTCTTTAAAATAATTACATTTATTTACTTTTACGTAATAAATTATCGATAAATACCGATCGTCGATAAAACAGAGATTCTGCCGTTCTTTCGATCGTATAATATCCTACATAAATTTTTATTATCGATGATCGATAGAACAAACAACATTTGTTTTTCGATACTGGATTACGATGGAACATTAGAAAAAAAAAAAAAAAAAAAAAAAGAAAAAACAAAACAAAAAAGTATTATGTAAATCTATTTCTTCAATCCAATCAATTTATTTACAGATTCGAAAAAAATGAAAAGATGAGATAATCGATTATTTTCGAAAGTGATACACGATGCTAACACGATCGATGAAACTACTGTTGACTGTATTTACAGTCATACCAAAAAAGGCGTACTACTGGATAATGAGTTCGATAAGTATACCGGTATGTTTAGTGTCAAGGCAATACTCTCTGTGGGTGAAGGGTACTTGAAAGAAGAACCAGTGTGATGCTGTATATAAATGTACTCGACCTTTCTTTAATGCATAACCTTCTTTTCAAAACGACATTATCAAGGTGGGTATCTTTTTTTTTTTTTTTTTTTTTTTTACAAATATCCTGTTAATATTTAAACGTACATTCACAAAGCTTTTTTTTTTATTAACCCAAAGATAAAAATAAAAGGAAAATTACATAAAGCTACAAGTTCAATGCTTCACAAATTATCTCGTTTCTAATATATCACACTTGATCTCATTTATTCTAGATTCGCGCGTAAAACGTAAAAATATATTTTATCGCGTGTAAAAGGAAAAAGCTTGTTTCCTGTTCGGACAGCGTGGGCGTTTAAAAGCACGAATAAAATAATTGGCGTAAATTGATGGTAAAGGATTACGCAAGCGATAACGATTGCTCTATCACCGAACGTGATATGTATAGTGTCTCGTTTGACTAGTGCAATGTTCTCGTGAAAATGTTAATTAAAAGAAAAAAGTAAGAAAAAGAAGAGAGAGAGAGAGAGAGAGAGAAAGAGAGAGAGAATGAGAAGAGAGAGAAAAAAAATAAATTACTTGTAAGCTATTTATACAAACGATTCAATAGATTATCGCATTAACAACATGAATATTGTCACTCGCATACCGGTATCAAACGCTTTTTATGTAAGGAGGTCGTGCGGGTAGTATTTGTTACATGTAAAATACGCCGCGAGCGTAAACTCCGTAAGGATTATGCAACACGTAATAGTATTTCGCACCGTCCTCGGTGTAATTACAAGTACGAAACAAAAATAGAAAACTTTCTACGATGGTAACAAGAAACCCTGAGCTCCGACTTTTTTTTCTTATTTTTTTTTTTTCTTATTTTTTTAAAAATATTTCTCTTACTTTTTATTTCTTTACTTTTTGAATAAATAAAAAATCGATGATGTAAAGAACGAAATTGACACTTACAGCCAGGAAGAGAGCCTTTCTTCACGGTGATCCTAAACGGTTGATAAGTGGCGCCTGGTTGCACCTTTCCGTACATCGTTCGATCCATAGCCATTTTCTTTTCTTTTTTGTTTTTGTTATTTATATATATGTATATATATATATTTTTTTTTTTACGCGCACAAAATATTACAAACGACTTATTTTATTCGAAGAAATGACGGAGCACGGGCACCACCATGTGTATACATACGCACCCACTAACACGCGTGGAATAAACGCAACACGCGCTACTCGAGTCACGTGGTACTGTTATGCGAATCGCCGATTGGCTGACGAATCAGAGGGATGGAAGACACAATCGTTTAACCACGCGCCACCGCGACCACTTGTTGCAGAATGGCATCGATATAAACTATATATACATACATATATGTATATACATTTCTGATATATTTATAAACAATTAATTTTTTTTTATACTAAAAAAAAAAAAAAAAAAAAAATCAATGAGAACTATTCTAACACATTTTCTTTTTAAAAATATGTTAAATTAATAATAATAATAATATTACTGAATTGTGTTCAATGCATATTTATATTTTTAAAAAGAAATAGAACTGTTGTATATATGTAACACTTTTTGTATATTAATAATGATATATGTATATATCAAAAACGACGTTCAATATATTTTTCTAAAACTATATTTGATTAGAAGTCAATAATTCTTTTTTTTTTTTTTTCTATAGAAAATAATTTAATGAGAATGTATGATGTTAGTATACTTGTTTCTATTTTTTTTTGTTTACAAATGTTAAATTAAAAAAATCTAATTAAAAAAATTTAATGAGAACAACGTTGATATCTTTTCTCTAAGAAAAAGTTTAAACTAAAAATAACAGTGATTTACTCAATGTATATTTATAAGTATAGTTTAAAAATCAATAAATTTGAGATAAAGTATCATAGACATGAAAGTGACAGGAAGATTATTAAAAATTGCGATACGCGAAACCGATGGATAGTTTATCGTGAATCAACAGTTCGCTGCGATAATAACTCGATCATCCCACGTATATACGTACGTATGTATATCCTAATACAACTATATGTATTCTCTTGAAATACACGCTTATCTAATTCTCTCTTGCACCTTCTCGTTAAGTCGATACAAACACTTTTTTACACTTCTAACAAAAGTTTCAAATATTGATCAAATTCCAATTCGAAACAACACTATATTTATAATTAAATTAATGATAATATTGAAAAACGAGAAATATCGAAGAACGATGAGAAACGTGGCACATACGATGAGTCCAATAATTATCGTTATTTCTGATACTTTTTTTATTTTATTTATTTATTTTTTTTTTTTTTAATGATTTCGTGCGAAATAAAAAGTGATGAAAAGCAATATATCTCATTACGTATTAAAAAAAAAATTTTATCATCTGACGATAATAAACATACCAAATATACTAAATCGTTTAACAATTATGGGGGACAAAAAATAACGAAAAAAAAAAAAAAACTCAAAATAAACAATTTCTTAGAAAATAAAAAATAATAAGAAATAATGTGAATACTTTTTTCTTTCTTTTAGTCAAACAAAAAAGAATTATTTCTTCCTACGATAATTAACGATAATAAACATCATAAAGAGAAATGTGTTATTTAAAAAAAAAAAAAAAAAAAAATGGAATTTCGTACGAAACAATGAACTAATTCAAACAATGAAAATATTTTGTTTTGAAATATTTTGTTTGAAATAATTCAAATTAATGAAAAATATTTTGTTTAAATTAACGCGAGTAAAAAAAAAAAAAAAAAGGAAGAAGAAGGAGAAAAGAAACAAGAGAAAAAGAAAGAAAAACAAAAACAAAAAAGAAAAAACAGAAATAATTTATCAACAATAATAAACGGCAATCACTCCAAATAAGAACACGCACTAATAAGGATTCACACAGTACACATATCCCGAGATATCCCGACTGATTATCCCGAAGAGGAATTCAGGAAGTATATGCGTAAGAGAACTGGCACTCGGTCACGACGATCTTGGTGGATGCAGAGACAGTGTAGCAACATTGGAGTAGTTAGAACGGGATGAAGGGGGGCGCGGGGAGGGGGGACAGCCAAGAAAAGGGGGAAGTTCGAACGAAAGTTAAGTATATTTCAGGAGCTCTCGGCCGTATATATGTATACGTAAATATATATATGTATATGTAATATGTATATATATATATATATGTGTATGTTTATATATACAGGAACCTTTCTACCTATCAACAGAGGAGTGAAACACGAGGAAGTTCGGGACGACGGGAAACTCACTAAAAATACGTACGATCGTTGGCGCTTGACTACTGCGTTCAACAAAACACCTACTACTCCTTTATTGTTTCATACCACAGGCAAGACTAACAATGGGGGGGAGGATACTAGTTGGAATCATTCTAACCAAAAAACAAAAAAGGAAGAAAAAGAAAAAAAAGGAAAAAAAAAAAAGAAAAGAAAACGAGAAAAAAATGAAGGTAAATAAAGATCGACAATTTTTCGATTTGTCTTATAATTAATTTCTTTCTTTTTCAATTTATTACGTCAAGTTTAAAATCTGAGTTTTTTTAACTCATGATTACGTTGTTGATTAGAAATATATATATATATATATATATATATATATATATATATATATATATATATATTGATATATATATATATATATATATATATATATATATTGATATATATATATATATATATTGAGATGTGTTGTAACAAAATGTTTTCAATAAAAACGTTAACAGTGACATCTCGCGAAATTGATTGAAAACCAATATGGCGGTCGCCGTTTGAAAGCAATGACATATTGCTTACGTTGTATTTAATTAGTGAATGGTTTCTCCTTATCTTACTTTCTCACTCTCTCTCTCCCTCCCACCCTTTCCCTCTCTCTCTCTCTCTCTCTCTCTCTCTCTCTCTCTCTCTCTCTCTCTCTCTCTCTCTCTCTCTCTCTCTCTCTCTCTCTCTCTCTCCATGATTTCATTCTTGATATTTGACACAGGGAATCTCCGTAAAAATTATATAATTTGTTAACGTCTTATCTTATTACAGACATGACAGAAATATTTATACACATATATCAATATATACAAATAAAATATCTATAGATATATAGAAAGAGAAATAATTCGAATGTACTTTTGTTTTCTTCGATTAGCTCGTTTAAACTAATAATTTGTAATAAACTCGTCGAACTAATAATTTGTATCAAACGTCATTATTCATCCGTGGCGTAATCGTCAGATATCATTTGAATCATTTTTACAATACAGTTCATCGACGTGTAAACGAAAATTTATTATATATATATGTATATATGTGTATACACACACACACATACATACATACATACATACATACATCGCATACATCACATCATAGATATATATATATATATATATATAAATGTAAATGAATGTTTTCACAGTTAACGTGTACTTATACACATCGTGTTTTGACAAAAGGAAAGTCTTCAGGCTTATACGATGTTCTTGAATGTTTCATTGTAACCGATAAGTAACAATGAAAATTATCATTATGACAATCGAAAATGCACTTTCACAAAAAGTTTCAATTCACAATTTTAATTTCTTCGAGTTTTACGATTATACATTAAAAACGGGTTCAAAAACATATTTACTAATGGATAATTATAATAAAAAAAAAAAAAAAAAAAAAAAGAAAAGAAAAGAAAAGAAAAGAAAAAAAAATATAATAAAAATAAAAATACAAATAAAACAATAATTATTATGAATGAAAAATAATGTCTAAATTGTATAACATAAAATTGATTTTGAAAACTTATTATTCATTATTTGCAATAATTATTACGATTGTTATATCAAATTATGTGCTTGTTTACATTTATAAATACATTAATTATAATCAATTGTTATATTATTTTAAATTCATAATATATTTATTAAGCGTTCATTGAAACGTCGATACTGTCAATTTCCATTCTTATATGAGAATAATTTAGATACAAGATGTCACATTGTAGGGTCCATTTTCAAAGAATATTTGATGAAATAAATGTATACATTAAATTACGTATAACATAAAAAAGAAGTTACCAATTTAACTTTAAATGAATAATGAAACAAATGAAATCGTTGATCACTTTTGACAGGGTCGATTAGTTGCCTAAAAATTTGAGGTTAGACCATGTAGGCCGTATGTTATGGAGTTTAATATTTACTTACCCAAATCATCCATGGTACGGTGATTCTAATTATTCGATTATTCAATACACAAAATATCCTGGAATGCACACACAGAAATTTTGAGATCGTCCGAAATACCGTAAATTACGGGACGACGCGCGACCGTCCTCTTCGACCGTGCGCATTCGAACTTCAAACATGGAGGACTGGAGTCCTTGCAGTCAGATTTCTTGATCGACACTGACCTTACTACTTCCAACGTACCTCGAATGAGAAATTTTTTTTTTTATTTCACTTTAATTTTCTTTAATATATAAACATAAAATAAGTAAACTTCGAACGATACTACGTAACTTTTTGTATTTTATCTGAAATACATATATATCTGTTAATAGATAGGTATTATATGTTTTATATACACATACACGCACGCGTGTACACACACACACAAATGCATATGTATGTATAAGTTTAATATAGAATTTGTGCATCTATTTAATGTAACGTAGGATCAAACGAATAAGATAAGAACATTTTGTAGATTCATTTATTAATAAAACTTATTCCTTATCTCTTTCATGGACTTTCGACGTTATTATTAATTTTATATTAATATTATCTTACTTTAAAATATTATTATATCTCTACCAAGAAGAAAAATTTCCAAAAGAATTCGTTATAACTTTTTTCTTCTTAAAAGCTGGCTCTACGGTCAATGGTTCATCTTTGTCTGTACTGTAAAAGGAATGCGAATTTATTAATTTATTTAACGCAGTCTGTATAAATATTTTTTGAAAAAATTTCTTACTCACTTCTCGTCTTTGTTTATCTTCAAATATTTGCCTACGCCCGAACGATAAATTTTTAGAATATCGTTCCCTTCCTTTTTATCTGCATTTTTATTTTTACTCGCTTCCTGTGCCAATTTTTCTGCCTCTGCCGCTCTTTCAGCAATTAATTGTTCCTCGGCTTCTTGAAAAGGATCTACGAAGACTAATACTCCTTGTATTATGATATCTTCGATCGGTCTATCTTTATTGTCTACTTCGATTTTTTCTATGGTATTTAACGTTTCTAAACCACCAACAATTTTTCCAAACACAGTGTGTTTTCGATCAAGATGTCGACACGATCGGAACGTGATAAAACTACAAGGTGATGACGTTTAATTTAATATAAATATAAAATATTATCCAGTCATTGAAATACTCACAATTGAGATCCATTTGTATTTGGTCCAGAATTAGCCATTGAAAGAATACCTCTTCCTTGATGAATTAAATTTGGTTTAAATTCATCTTCAAAAGCTTTACTCCAAATAGATGTTCCACCATTACCGGTATTCGTTGGATCTCCTCCTTGAATCTAAAAAATTATAATGTCTTTATACGGATATTACTAAAATCTAATATTATATATAATATTATAATATATCTAATATTATAATATTTCATTTTTATATTACCATAAAGTTTCGTATGGATCTGTGAAATTTTGTACCATTATAATAACCATTTTGACAATGTTTCACAAAATTTTCACATGTTTTTGGTACAAGATCACAATGAAGTTCTAAGTTCAAGGCACCAAAGTTCGTGAGTAATCTTACGTATCCTATAAAAATTCAATGTAATTAAGTTCATTTTTATTTATAATAGAAATACGTATATATAAATATAATAATTAACCTTTCTTTTTAACCCGTTCATATCGAACTAAGTCTTCTGCAATTACTGCAGCTTGATGAGTTGTTTCTCTTGGCATTACCGTAGAGGTAAAACCTGCAGCTACGGCACCAGTCGAATAATGAGCCTGCATAAATAAGCATTATTATAAATTAATGAAAGAAAATATTTGTTATTAATTAAATATTGAAATATTATACATACAGCATTGAATTTATCAGCTTGCAGTTTATTAGTTTCTTCTTTAATTTCTGGTTCTTTATAATCTCTTTTTAATTCTGCCAATATTTCTTTTGTCTCCATAGACACTGTTTTTAATTTTGCAGTTGGATCAGATCTTTCTCTTATAGCCTCTAAAAATAAATTCAAAAGTTAGGATTCATAAAATACATATAATGGAAAAGAATATTTAGAAAATAATTTTTATAATAAAATCATTGAATCACCTTCATCTTCAACTCTTATATTATTTTTAATATGATGAAATGTCGATAAATTAAACTTTGTTACATTATTTGGATCTTGAATAGTAATTATATCCTTTCTTGTAAAAGACTCATCATTTACTAAATCCTTCCAGTTACGTGTCTTTATATTTAACTGCTCTACTGCCTAAAAATATATCTTTATTAATACAATCTCCAATTATAATAATAATAATAATAATAATAATAATAATAATAATAATTTTAATTAAACTTTGATAAGTGTACTATTTACCTCCCACGACATTACATTTCCTGTTGTTTTAATAGCAACAATATGCGAATGTTTCGTAAACGGTTTGAAAAGAACCGGACAGTGATATTGTCCTTGTGCATTTTTGTAGAAGTTTAATTTTATTAATGTTTTAGGATCTAAAGATTTTCCTGTTACAGGATTATGTTTAAATCTTTTTACATATTCCAAAAGTGGTTCTAATTCAAAGATGTGCCCTAGCACGTCGCAATAAGGATGTTCAAATGGTTTTAAACTCAGACAACAGTGATCATAAGGTAAACGTCGAAACGTAGTATCTTCACTAGATTCTAAAGGACCTGATCTTTTTCCACCATATAATGTTGTCCATTCTGTATATGTTAAATACCTACAAGTAAAATATATGTATAAAAATAAAATTTTTTATTTGTATGTCCTAACCTATGTAAACTAAAATATAGAAAATATTTACATTTTATCTTTCTGATGTTGTCGTTTCCCCATCTTGGCGAATATTAATAGTAACTACTGTAGAAA